AGAAAACAGTCTAAACAACACAAGGCCCACATTCCCAAGAGGTGGGCTGGGTGGTCTTTGGTTGTTCAATGGGTGTTTGTCATCATTTAGGGGGGATGGCCGCAAGTTGTTACTGATCGGGGTTAGGGAGGAAATTAAGCAAAGGAGATTAGATTCAGGGATCTTGTTCTGAAAAGAAAAGGGGGGCAGGATACGAAAATGACAGGATGGTGGCGGCACACGACTTTAATCCCAGCACTTGGGAGGCAGAGGCAGGAGGATCTCTGTGAGTTCAAGGCTAGCCTGGTCTACAGAGTGAGTTTCAGGACAGCCAGGGTACACAGAGAAACCCTGTCTCAAAAAATAAAATAAATTCTAGGACAAAAGGGTAGATTATTGTACTTTCAAGCTAAAATAAGAATAAGCAACCACTAGTCTCAAACCTTTTGCATTGGTATGGATTTTTGTATACTGATACAAATTTAAGGTTATTTTTGTTACTACATATGTGTGTGTGTGTGTTTCTACTTTTATTTAAGGTATTGTACCTATACAGCTCATTTAAAAATGTAAAGTTTTAGTCTTTGGAAGCTATTTAGGATAATAAAGAAAGACAGGTTAGTAGTCATCTATAACACTCAAACTTATAGTTATGTTAGATACGTTTTCAAGATCAAACAGAGATATATTTTAAACAGTTAGAAGGTCTTCAGACACTCCAAAGACCTACAGAATATGGCATTTTGGTGTTTTGATAAGGTAAGGCTTTTCATGACAATGAGACAGGTCTGCTACAGCACCGATTTACTTTTAAAAAGCATAATGGGCATCAAAGAATCTCCATATGGAGTTTGCTTCCACTGTGGCAAAAGCTAGCCATTTTGGTAAAGAAACTGCCCTTTCCTTGACTGCTGACAATATGCTGTCCAAACTGGACAAACAGGACACAAAAAAATCAACAGCCGAATTTTGCCAAGACAGGGCAGTCTTCAAACATTCTTGCTTGGCGGAAAAGTCTGTCAGCTATTCTAGGCATGTAGGCCAAAGATGGATGTCCCAACATTACAGAGGACTGTCCAGGCAGCCAGCTGTTTCTGTCATTTCTATACTTTTGGAAGTTGCTTGCTCTGTATTTCCTGTTTACTCAGGTGATAGTATGTCCTTCTAGGGTCTCCGATGGAGTTGAAGATGAGACAGCTATAATTAGTTTTCTTTGTTAGCAAATTTCAAAAAAAAAAAAAAAAACTCACAAAAGAGATATAAAATGTATTAGCTTAAGTTGTTTATCTAAGAAAAATTTCTTGAGGTCTAAAAAGATGGTAATACAAGTTATGATAGAAAATGGTTTAGGTATAAAACTTCAAGTTCATCAAGATAAGATAGGTTAATAGTATTTCCTCTGAATATGCCAAATACGAATGAACTGGACATTGTGAATATAATTCCTACCTGATAATTGTTATAGTTTTATTGTGTTAGAGTTAAAACCTTTCCTTTTTATTTAGACAAAAGTGGGGGAATGTTACAGAATATTCCTTTACTCTCTATGAAGATGTGTTTAATAAAGAGCTGAATGACCCTTAGCTAGGCAGGAAGAAGTTAGGCAGGACTTCTAGGGACAGAGAGGACTCGCAGAAGATAGGCTCAGAGGAAGCAGGATGAGCAGTACAGAGTAAAGGTAACAGAACCATGCAGAAGAGCATAGATTAAAATACATGGGTTACCTTAAGTTATAAGAACTAGTTAGGATCAAGCCTAAGCTAAGGCCCAGCTTTCATAAATAAAGTCTCAGTGTCATTGTTTGTAAGCTGGTGGTCCTGATGAGAAAGTTTGCCTACAAGAGACAGACGCAGAGAGCCTGAGAGCATGCAACTAGCTGGGAATGGAAATGGTGTGGGCTCCTAATGCTTCCCAAACAGTTCTACCAGCTGGGAGACCACCGTACTAGATTAGCCATGCAATCGTGGCGGTCCTCCTTCCTTAGCTCCCCAAATCCTGGGCTCCCAGGCGTGAGCCCTCACGTTGGCCTCTTTCCTGTCTTTGTGTCTTTCAGTCTCATCCAGCATGGATTTGCTTTTTGCAGGGGATTAGGTGCAGGGTGCCATGCACACCAGGCAAGTTTTCCATCGCTGAGCCACACCCTCAGCCCTTTCTCTGGCCTTCTGTTAGCTCATCCATGAAAGGAGTAAGGAGTGTAACTAAATGCCCCAAGGGGAGGGTGTGACATTTGTGGCAGCTGTCCCCGTAAGGTTACAAGAAAGGGACTGAAAACTACTGAAGTATATTCTCTCTAACGTTCGTCCTTGAGGTCAAAGGTGCAAAGTCCTGGCCTTGGGAGACAGCATATGATCACAGTGATGGCTGCCTGCAGTCCTTAGCTTCCTCAAGTATGGCTCCAGTGTCTCAAGTGTGGCTCCAGGGTCTCAAGTGTGGCTCCAGGGTCTCAAGTGTGGTTCCAATGTCCTCCTGTCTTCATGTGGCCTGTTTCCCCATGTCTCTTGGACCTGGGCATCTCGAATCACCCTTCCCTCTTTTTACACTTTAAGGCAGACTCTAGCCTGAGATGGCCTCCAACTTCTCTCTCCTGCGTCTTCTTCTCAGTGCCAGGCTTGGCTCCTCTCCTCGCACAAGGACATCCACTGACGGGGTTGAGGACACGCCCTAACTCCAGGATGATCATGTCTCAAGACCCCTGCCTGATGTACTAATGCCTGCAGTCTCTATTTCCAAATAAGGCCAAGCCCACTGTAGAAGGCATTAGGCGAGGCAGGGGCCAGTTCAGCCCGACACAGGGTTTTTTCTTGTGCCACACCAACCATGAGAAGGCCAGGGCAGGGAGTTCATACTCTGGCATTAGGAGCGTGTTCTGCAGACCAGGTGCTGGAAGGGCCACTTGACCCAAGAGAGACAGAGAAGCTGGTGGGTCCCCTGGGGAAGCGTTTCAACGGAGGGCCTGAAGTTTCATTTTTGGGGTTCCAGAGTTCCAGAAAGTGCCTCAGGCAACATCACCAGGACTTCAACTGTTATTTTCACACACACACACACACACACACACACACACACACACACACACACCTTCTTATCTTTCCTCTCAACCCATCCTCCAGGGTATCTGTCTGTGCTCCCCTGGGAGTCCTTGGGAGGTTCTGCTACCTTTGTGATAAAAACCAGTTTCCAGCCCGGCTGGGAGCTGATAGCTTTAACCCAGCAGAGGCTGGCCTAGAGGGTCTCTGCAGCCTGGTCCTACCTCCTGGGTTCCAGGCTGGTCAGGGCTATGTAGAGAGACCTCGTCTCAAACAAAAACAAAAGCAAGCCACCCAAGTGTCATGAGACTCCCCCCACCCTCATCCATCCGCCTAGTCTGCCTTCCATTGTATCCCTTCTCTGACCCCTTCATTGAATATTTACTGTTTCTGATCTCAGGTCTTAGCTTTCGACCCTCTTCTGGAACATCTCCCCTCACTCCATCATCCTTCATGGCTAGACTTTTCCCCTAGCATACTTCCATTCCTACAGGACTGTTGTCCGATACCTCTTCCCTACTGTGTAGGGTGTTGAGGGCAGCGAGCTGTCATCTCTAGGGCATTGCATAGCATGTGCCTTTGGCCTTTCAGCACCTTGTTTTCCTGTTCTGTCTTCTCTACCAGACCCCATGGGACTCTTAAATCAGTCCAAGGTGACAGTCCTGGGACCTAATCAATACTAAGGATAGGGTCAAGAGATGCAAGGGGCCCTTCCCCAGGGACCTCTTATCCCTAACCCTAAAAGGCATTATAACTATTCCGCCTTTAGTCCCTGGTGTGGACGAGGACAGGGTGATCCCAGGCAACTCTAACTCCAGCCTAACCCAGCTCCCTGGACATTCCCAGTGTGGGCCTATCTCTCCAGCTGTTTTCTTTTCAGATCTGAAGTTCAAAAGAACAACAGATCTAGGTGTGGCGGCCACAGGAAACAAAGCTGGCAGGCTGGGTCCTGTCTGCTCAGCCCTGGGCCTGCAGGATACGGCTTACCTCTCCCTGCTGGGTCCCGGGAGGAGGAGTTTTTGTGGGCCTCAAAAGCCAGCAGTGTCCTGGAAACAGCAGCTCTAAGAGAGGCCAGGCCAATTCAGGACTCAGAAGGGGGAAGGGACAGCCGGGTTTAATTAGAGCTTTAAAAATGTTCCTAAGAAAGCCGATTCAGAAGTCCTCAGCCCTTCGGGGCAGGGCTGGCATAATAATAATAATAATAATAAAACAACACTTGCATGGAGATTTTATTTACAAAGCGCTTTCTGGGGGATGCGGGAGGGGAGACTCTGGGTGGCCCAGCGGATTCCTAGCTGGGAGGCCACCCCGTCCCCCCAAGCCTTGGGTTGGTTCCACAAGAATCCAAGTTTACAATTGCGATGGCCTGCAGGGTAAACAAAGGGCCCTTCATACAACTGTTTTTCCAGCCTTCATTCCTTTTGCACTCTTCCAGGAAGAGCACACTTGGGGCTTGTCATTCAGTCTCAGAGGGCCTGGTGAGTGGGAAAGTGGCTGGGGACTAATGGAGGAAGCTTTCCTCTGTCCCACACCCCCACCACACCCCACGCTCAGGCAGAATATAGCGCTGCTGCTGTAGGAGGTTAGAGCCTGCTTCTCCCTTGCTCACCTGTGGCTATGTCCCCCCACCCACAAGGGTGCACGAGTTTGCCAGGGCTGTGTTTGGTGACAGAGAGAGAGAGAGAGATAAGCAGGTGTGAGCCTGCCAGTCCCTCCCCACCTGAGGACGGGATTGTGTGAACACGTGGGGGCGTAGGGCCCTGGGGTGCTTGCACCTGCATGGGCAGGAGGGTTGAGACAGCTGTGGGGCCTCTCTGGCACACCCAGTCAGAGTTGTAAGCAGTCACCTGGCTACTGTCACCCTAAAGGAAGAGGTGACCTGGGGGGGGGGGGAAGGGGGCAAGCAACAGATAGGGCCTGGCCCCTTAAGTGCTGATGGATTATATAGGAGCCACCTGCAGGGGCAGCTTGGCGCTCTATCCCTGTGAGAGGCCGAAGATGGAGGAGATCATCGCGGGGCTGGCAGAGATCACTTTCGCCTTTGAGCAGGATGTGGAATTGCAGAGAGGCACTGGGCTCCTGCCTTTCCAGGGCATGGACAGTAAGTGGCAATCCCATGGACCCCTTGCCCAGGTCCTTGAGTAGCTGTCCTCCCTGACTTCCTTCTGCCTCTCCTACACAGCTTCTGGGTAGTTCACTGTCCAGGACAGAAAGACAGATTTCTAAGCTCCTTACTGGTCTCCAGGGCTCCCTGACTGCCCCCCCCCCAAGACTTGCACCTCCTATCTCAAGAGATAGGCTGAGTTTAAGTGTGTATGGGGGGGTGGGGCTTGGGAAGAGGGTACTTTTGACTCACAGTCACCACAGTAGGAGACAAGTGACAGCCGCTTCTCGTGGCAGAAACTGTGGCCAGCAAGAGGCTGAGACAGGAGGATTGCTATGAGTTCCAGGCCAACCTGGACTACTCAGACCTTGTCTCATAAGCAAATGAAGAAACAAACAAACAGCAGAATATAAAAACACAAAGATGGCAGCCGGAGCGGGTACATGGAGGCCCACACAGATCCAAGCCTGCAGGAGGCTCAGCTGGGACCTGCTGAGGAGAAACTCGAGGTTTCCTGGCAGGGAGCTCCGCTCTGGGAAGCTACCTTCTCCTCTGTTTCTTTCTCCAGAGTCCAACTCAGCTGTGTGCAACTTCTTCGCTAAAGGGCTGTGTGAGAAAGGTGAGTGAGGTAGGCCTGGGTGGGAATGGCTGCGAGGGCCATGCTGGCTGGGTTCAGCTGGGGCCTAGGAAAGAGTTCGAGCTTGGCACCTGGGCCAGGACAGGATTCAGCCTCATGAGGGGAGCAGTGGTCAGGGGAGCAGTGAGTGTATGGGTGTTGGGTCTGCCTGGAACTATGGTTACAGGTGGTTGTGAGCTGGGTGGGTGCTGGGAACCAAACTCAGGTCCTCTGGAAGAGCAGCTGGTGTTCTTAACCACTGAGCCATCTCTCCAGCCCGATACTCTCTACTTGGCTTCAGTCCTCAGTCTAACCCGTCCTCTTCCCAGCCAGGCCTCCCCACCTTGAATCATCATGGGAACGGATGGGTCATCCCAGCTCTTAGGTAGCCTCTTGAGTGATGGCCACTGCTGCTCAAGGACCTCCCTCTCAAATCCCTCCTCCAGATGCAGCCTTTTGTTTGTTTGTTTGTTTGTTTTTCCAGATAGGGTTTCTCTGTGACTTTGGAGTCAGTCCTGGAACTAGTTCTTGTAGACCAGGCTGGTCTCAAACTCACAGAAATCTGTCTGCCTCTGCCTCCCGAATGCTGGGACTAAAGGCGTGTGCCACCAGCGCCCAGCTAGATGTAGCCTACCTTAACTCCGGGCACTTGGCCTTCTCTTCTGGATTGTGGGTCACTTTGAGGCTTCTCCAATAGAAGCACACTGTTGCCAAAATACCTTATCCCTAATAGTAGGATTTCCCACTCCTCCCCCACCCCGAAGCCTGCCAGTGGATCCAGGTGAGGAGGTTCTCAGGGAGCCTGCCTTGGGGACCCTTACTATTCTGTTCCTAAAAGACAGGAGGTCAGGCAAGGAGGACCCAGAACCTGTTTGTGCACTTCTAGATGGCTGGATGAGAAAGGAAAGGACCCCACTGGCCACCCAGAGCTCTGGGCAACTAGAACCATCCAGGTCCATTACAGACTGAGTCATCCACAACTCAGAGATGCTTCCTTCTTTCTTTCTTTCTTTCTTTCTTTCTTTCTTTCTTTCTTTCTTTCTTTCTTCCTTCCTTCCTTCCTTTCTTTCTTTCTTTCTCCCTTCCTTCCTTCTACTTTTTAATTTTAATAACTCATGTATTTTTATTTATGTCTGTATGAGGGTGTCAGATTCCCTGGAGTTACAGATAATTGTGAACTGTCATGTGAGTGCTGGGAATTGAACTCAGGTTCTCTAGAAGATGAGCCCCGAGATGGCTTCTTTCTTGCAAAGAAAGGCTGCTACTGAGGTCATCGCACCAGGGATGGCAGAAGTGTGTATATGTGTGCATGGATGCGGGGGAAGGACACTTAAAAGGGACACCCTGGTCAGGCATAAAACAAGTCCTGTTTAGACACAACCCTTCCCTTCTAGTGCCTACTGAATAAGATACTGAGGTGGTCAAATCTAACCGTTCTAGTGCCTGCCCACTGTAAGAGTCACCTGCTTCATGGCTGTGTTCTTTTTGTTTTGTTTTGTTTTTGTTTTTTCAAGACAGAGTTTCTCTATAGCTTTGGAACCTGTCCTGGAATTCTATCTGTAGACCAGGCTGGCCTCAAACTCAGAGACCCCTAGTGTTGGGGATTAAAGGCGTGCACCACCACCACCACCACCACCACCACCACCACCACCACCACCACCCAGAAGCTGTGTTGTTCTTAACATTTGAAGTCACGGATACACGCTGAGCATGTGCCCCTGGGTAGCCTAACATGTATTAGGCCCGTGATCCCAGCATGCATGCATAAATTGGGTATGGTCCTTGCCTGTAATCTCAGCATTCAAGAGTTGGAGGCAGAAGGATCATAAATCCAAGGCCATTCCTGGCAACATAGTAACTTGAGACCAGCTTGGGTTAAGTCAGACCCCCTTTCAAAAAATAAGAGATTCAGCTGTTAGAGGCACCTGCTTCTCTGGCAGAGGACCTGGCAGCTCACAACACTGTGTAACTCCACTTCTGGGGGATCAGATGTCCCTTCCAACCTCTGAGGCCTCCTGAACACGCGCGCGCACACTCACACGCACACACAACTTATTTCTTTTTTGTTAAACAAGGAAGAAACAAATCCAGAACATTTCTCTCCCTGCAAAAGTCATGAATTCAGCAAGCACTTACCGTATGCCAAGAGCTGGCCTGGGTACGCCCATGGGGTGAGGTAAAGGCATCCTGGAGGTTCCTGGGGTTTGGCTCTGGGAGAGGGGCCCACTGTCTCTTAAGATAGATAGCCTCTTCCCCGGTGTGGTCCTCTGACCCTGTTTCAGGCAGGCGAGGTAAGGCCTGCAGCAGGTGCTGTGTCCTGCAGGGATGCTGTGCCCGCTTCGGCACGAGAAGGGCGAGAAGATGGTGGTGTGCAAACACTGGCTGCGGGGGCTCTGCCGAAAAGGGGACTGCTGTAGCTTCCTGCACCAGTATGACGTGGACAGGATGCCCGTGTGCTATTTCCACTCCAAGTTCGGTAATGTCCTACCTGGTTTGTGGGGGTGATGGGTAGGAGCAGCAGGAGCCCAGAAGGCTAGCCTTGTCTAAGCCCAAGCTGCCTGCTTCTCTGAACCCCCGAGAAAACAGAGCCAAGGCTGGGCCCAGTAGGACACACCCCTAATCTCAGCACTAGGGAGGCTGAGGCAGGAGAATCGGTTATTCATGCCCAGTCTCAGCTACAAAGAAGCTCGAGGGAAGCCTGGACCTTGTCTGAAAACAACAACAACAAAACAATAAAAAAATAGGGTCCCTTGTGGTGGCGAACACCTTTAATCCCAGCACTTAGGAGGAAGAGGCAAGCAGATGGCTGCGTTTGAAGCCATAGTAAGTTTCAGACCAGCCAGAGCTGCACAATAAAACTCTCTCAAAAATAAACCAATAGGGAGCCTGATGGTGGTTGGCGCACACCTTGAATCCCAGCATTTGGGAGGCAGAGGCAGGCGGATCTCTGAGAGTTCAAGGTCAGCCTGGTCTACAGAGTGAGTTCCAGGACAGGTTCCAAAAAACCAAAAACAAACAAAAAAGAAACAAGTAAAAAATAAAAGTAAAGGATGCAGAGCCGGATCTGCCCTTTGTTAGTCTCAGCTCGGCAGTTGCATCCAAGGGAAGAGAATGTTGTTCCCCACTGCAGACATGGCTCATCCATACCCAGATGTCTGTCAGGAATAGCCTTGAATGACCCATCTCTCAGTCCCTGCTGTGTCCAGTCAGGCCTCCCCAAATGAGACTCATTTGGTAGCTGCGCTCAGAACCGTCACCGGTACCCACGAGGCACCCACACCCCACCTTCTTCCTGCTTTCTTGCTATTTCTAACATTTGTTTTAGATGAAAATGTCATGTTACCTCCCAAAGGGGAAAGCCTGCATCACTTGTTGGAAAGAGAAGGTCAGTCATATGCATATATAAAGCCATGGAGTTCAGAAGTCTGGTCCCTAAAATTATCTTGTGTGGGCAGGGACCTCAAGTCCTCCTCGGTCATCCAAGGAGCTATTTATGGCAGCCACAGCCACCTTTCCCCTCCCTGGAAGGCGCAGTCCGTGAATGTCTTACCTTCACAGTGCCCATCTACAGCTTGGTGTTTAATTAGTTCCAGTGGGGCTGGGATGATCTAGTCCGTTGGTTTCCAAACTGAGGGGTTGGAGGAGGGAAGGGAGGAGTGGGAGAAGGGAGCAAGCTGGATCCCTAGGCACAGCCCTCATTTAAGAGACTGAAGGGCCACACAGCAGGTAGCCAGTTCCATTAGTGCTGATGGGAGGGGCCCTGGCTACCTTGAAGGGGCAAAGTCTCTCCCAGGGCAGGGAAAGTTCATCCCATCCTTCCAGTCCAGCATTCCAGACTGCCTGCTCCGGGGAGCCAGTGGCAATTCCTGAGGGATGCCAGAATGTCTTTCTAGAAGAAAAGGGCAGTGTATCCGGAGTCTGTTCCTCTGAAGTCTCTGACTAAAGCACTTGTACTTAGAAATGCCCTTTTAACTTTCTCAACCCTGGTTTTCTTGGCTAGGTGATCAGATATGGAAACAGAAACTGGACCACATTTGCCTGCAAGTAATTCAGGGCAGATGTGTAAACTCCTGAGTATACGTAACCTAAGGTTTTACTCTTTTTTTAAGAAAAGATTTTATTATGTATGCAGCATTCTGTCTGCATGTACTCCTGCTCACCAGTAGAGGGCACCAGATCTCATTACAGATGGTTGTGAGCCACCATGTGGGTTCTGGGAATTGAACTCAGGGCCTCTGGAAGAGCAGTCAGTGGTCTTAACCTCTGAGCAATCGCTGCAGCCCAAGGTTTTGCCCTTAACAATGAGCAAATATCTCTAATATTACAAAAATAATCATACAGTTATATGCTAGGTGTGGTAGTGCATCCCTTTAATCCCAGAAGGCAGGCAGAGAAGCAGGTTGATCATCTCTGTGAGTTTGAGGCCAGCCTGGTCTATGTGGAGTTTCAGAATAACATAGTGAGAACCTGTCTCAAAGAAAAAAAAAACAAAAAAACAAACAAACAAACAAAAAAACATGCTTGTAACCCTCATATCTGGGACATTGAGGAAGGATTTGGTCAAAGACTGCCCAAACTATATAGTTTGGCTCTTAAAAATGTGTGTGTGTGTGTGTGTGTGTGAGAGAGAGAGAGAGAGAGAGAGAGAGAGAGAGAGAGAGAGAGAGAGAGAAATAGAGAAAGAGGGAGAGGGAGAGATTCTTCTTACTCATACCATTTCCACTTTGAGGTAGGATCTCATTATGTAGCCCTGGATGATCTAAAACTCACCCTGTAGACCAGGCTGGCCTCAAACTCACAGAGATCCACCTGCCTCTGCCTCTGCCTCTGCCTCTGGAGCGCTGGGATTAGAGGGATGTGCCACTGTGTCCTGCTTCAATGTCTCTGTTTTTATTTATTTATTTTTAATACTGCGTAGCCAGGCTTGGTGGCCCACGCCTTTATTCCCAACACTTGGGAGACAGAGGCAGGTGGATCTCTGTGAGTCTGAGGCCAGCCTGGTCTGCAGAATGAGTTCCAGGACAACGAGGGCTACACAGAGAAATCGTGTCTCCCCAAATCAAAATAAAACAAAATAAAAAATCAAAGCCAAAAGGCGCTGCTGAACTGCAACTGAATGATGCATAGAGAAGGCAACTAGCTGAAAAGGACCATGGTAAAACACGTCCGTGAAGCTATCTTTGTGGGGCGCTGAGACTAGGCAGGAATAGCACTGTTTTGGGGTCAGTAACGCCTTGCTCATGCTCTGTAACTAAGCCCAAGGAACTCATGGGTGTGTGCGCGCGCGCGCACACACACACACACACACACACACACACACACACACACACACACACACACACACACAGTTTAGGCCCGGGAGCCCAAAAGCTCATTTGGTTAGAAAGGAGTAAAAGCATCTACAAAAGACAGTGGAGGCTGGGGTGTTGCTGCCCCCTTCTGGCCAGGAGCAGACATAGCAATGTGCAGCTGGGATGAACAGATAGGTATACCCTTTCCTCACCATTTCTTCCCTCCAAGTGTTGACCGACCCTATGCATGAGGTCGTTTTGAGTCCTAAAGAGGCTCAAACCCAGGGGACCGCAGAGGATGTACCAATTAGTCCTTTTGCTGTGAGGAAGCTGAGTGAACAGATGTGACACTTGCTTCTTTCTCCCTGATGGCTGACGTCCGCATTTGTGAAATGGAATGGCTAGGAAAGAATGACAAAACTCTTAGGAGTCAAGACAAATCTTTCTCAGGTGAAGCATCATCATGTTAAAAAAAAAAAAAGTCCCATGTAGCTGGGCGTTGGTGGCACACGCCTTTGGTCCTAGCACTCGGGAGGCAGAGCCACGTGGATCTATGTGAACCCAAGGCCAGCCTGGTCTACAGAGTGAGTTCCAGGGCAGGCTCCAAAGCAATACAGAGAGAGAAACCCTGTCTTGAAAAACCAACCCCCCCCCCAAAAAAAAGTTCATGTATAAGATAACTCTCTGTGAGACCTTATGAAGTTCCTGTTAGCTCCAAAGAGCAGTCGTAGGCTTTTAGGGAAGGTGAAACCAGAAACGTTCACAGGTTTCTCCACTGAAAGGAGACAGAAGGGGTCATAGTCTTCTCTCTCCTTCAGAATCTGCCTAAGTGGAACCTACAAGCCACAGCTTCAGGCAGCCTGTGCCTACAAGGCTGCCACCTTGTGGAAATACAACAGAACAGGACTTGCTTTACTGCACAGACACAGCCTAGGCTCACAGCTAAGGCAGTCCCTCTGAAAGGTGCCTGCTGGGCCCAACCGGAACCTCTGCTCTGTCCTTGACATTTCCTCCAAAACAACCCTGCCCCTCACATGGCTCTGCAAATAGTGGAGCGTTCACAGTGGAGATGACCAGAGGGTGGCAGAGGTCTTCCAAAGATGGACAAGCAGAGGACGGGCCAGTTGATTCCATGGGAGGAGGGAGGGTCAAGGTAAATTGGGGTGGGGATGCAGAGGTGGTGGTAAGTGTGAACCTGCTTAGATGCAAAGAACGATGTGCTTTCAGGTAACTGCAGTAATAAGGACTGCTCTTTCCTCCACGTGAAGCCAGCTCCCAAGCTCCAGGACTGCCCTTGGTATGACCAAGGGTTCTGCAAGGACGGTGAGCGCTCAGTGGGCAGGGATGGGATTCACTGAGGGATGAGGGTGGTCCAGGTGGAGGCGCTCAGCAGGCGAGGAGTGACCAGTGACAGCCTTTTTGAAGTTGTCCTAGGCTTGTAGAAAATGCAGCCTGGCATAGGGCACCACGGGCTTTCCAGGGAAGGCTGGGGGATTTACATCTTACCCTTCTCAATGGATGGGTATGGAACCTTGGCTAAGAAGCCTAGCAGAAGGTCTAGTCCATGAGACATAGCTCCCAGGTGCCAAATGCCACTTGAGTTCTACCCTTTGCCTTGCCCCCAGGCAAACTTTGTAGGGTCCCTGCGGGATCACTGGGCCCCATGATCATGTGTCTTCAGGTGTGATTGTTAGTACAGGGTTGGGAGGGGCTTCTGGGGAAAGGTGGCTTGAGCTGGGGCAACCCAGGGCCTGCAGCATGGTCTGCCTGTGTTTTACCACTGAACCACATGCCCAGCCCTTACAGGAGCCAATGTTCCTACTCCTATCTGTCTCCTGGCTTCAGGGACATCAAGTGGCAGGTAGCCTACCCTACCACAGCCCATGCTTTTCCTCATGAGCCATTTCATGTAGACTTCTTCCTCTGGATGAAGCAGGCTCTCTTGGCCATTTACTCTTTGTCTAGTAGGTCCCCTGTGTAAATACCGCCATGTCCATCAAGTAATGTGTCTCAACTACTTCACCGGCTTCTGCCCCGAGGGACCTAAGTGCCAATTTGGGCAGTAAGTATGATTCTTCCGTCTCTCTAATCCACTGGAGTGCTGGGCTGCACCATCTGGATCTAGACCCTTCTGGGCTTCCCTTTGCCCTTAGCTGGAGATCATCTAGCAAGTATCTGCCTAGTGATTTTCACTGCCCTGCTAACGACTCCGCGCCCCACCCCACCCCCCAGCCTCTGGATGCTGTTGGCCGGGTGGACTCCAGCCCCTCCCTCTTGAACAGCACTCACAATGGGGCAGGCAGGTGTGTAGCTCCCACAGGCTGTTCTAGAAACGAGTGGAAATTTTTCCTATCACTCCCGTCCTCAGCAGTTCTGCGCAGTGCTTAGGGTGAGTGAGGGCTCCTTCCCTAGGGGCTCTGGAATGGGAAGTCTGCAGCAGGCTGGCGCTGAGCATGCTAATGAGCTGGGACAGAAGGCTAGAGCAGGGACACACACACACACACACACACACACACACACACACACACATACACACACACACACACACACACACAAACTCTAACCGAACACTCTCCCTTTGTCCTGTCCCTCCCTCCCTCTCCCATCCCTCAGTCCCAAGGCTCTCCACCCCAGTAATGTGAAGGTAAGTGGTGCTCACAAAGCGTCTGTCTCCATCTGTTGGCTCCCACACCCGGCCTGTGCTTCCTACCCCACTCCTGAGTTCTAACCCTGTAGAAAGCACATGTCCCGTGTATGGGGCACCAGCATGCAGTAGCTCCTCCCGGTCTCCCCAACCTCCATCATCTCCGAACTGGGTAGGACCCCTCCTTCTATAATCACCCAAAGCCTTCCTTTCCTTTGGCGGGGTAACACAGGGACAGTTTCCTTTCTTTGCTTGTTATCATGTTTTTCATTTTGTTTATTTACTTTGTGTATGTATGTGGGTACGCGCAGGCCACAGCGAATGTGTGGAGGTCAGAGGACGACTTGGGGCAATTGCTTTCTCTCCTTCTACTGTCTGAGTCCCCAGGGTAGAACTCGGATCTTCATGCCTGGCATGACACTCCTGTGGGATCCCACAGGAATGTTTTTCACTGACAACAATCCAGGACTTAGAGTCCTAGGTGGCTAGGCAAGTGTTCTATCACTGAGCTACAACTAATGTTCCCAGCTTCCTAATGCTTATCCCTCCCTCCCTCCCTCCCTCCCTGCCTCCCTCCCTCCCTGCCTCCCTCCCTCCCTCCCTCCCTCCCTCCCTCCCTCCCTCCCTCCGTCTCTGTCTCCCTCTCTCTCTCTCTCCAGGATCTTATTATTTAGCTCTGGTTGAGGGAGGTCCAGCTGGCCTCGGACTTGCTATGTAGACCAGGCTGGTCTCAAATTCAGAGACCCACCTGCCCCTGCCTCTCCAGTGCTGGGATTGAAAGTGTGCACCACCTCTCCTGGATAGTGGCTTTTTCTAGAGAGATGAGAATGGTTTGTGTAAGGCTGTGGGGAGGACTGGAGAGATGGCTCAGTGGTTCAGAGCAGGGAGTGCTCGGATGGAGGACCCCAGTTTAGTCCCCCGTCCCCCCCCCACCCGCACCCAGGGCAACTGATTCCTCCAGCCTCTGTGGGCATCTGCATGTGCTGGCACAAACCCACACACATAGCCATACTTAAAAGATAAAGTAAATATTAAAAGGTTGGAGGGAAACTGAAGACTATTTTGTGTCCTGGGATGACGCCCTCTAGGGCTGGTACAGTTTTCCTGGACTAGCATCTCAGCAGGCATCATCTGCACACCTCCTGGCTTTACTGGTCCTCAGTGCAGTAGTATTGGGCTGGTACCTAGTGGGAGGTCCCCTGCACCCTTGTTGGATGAAAGTGGTTGTTATGAACCAAGCTGGGCTTTCCCGTTTCCTTCCTCTGCACCATATGACCCCCCCCCCCCCCCCGTGTACCTGCTCCCTTTTGACCTGGTACAGCACAAGGCACTGCCCAGAAGCCAAGCAGACACCTCCAGGTCTTAGACCTCAGCCTCCAGAAAGAATGTCAGCTCAGCAAACCTCTTTTCTTTTTAAGTTCCTGAGCACGTAACTTCTCCCAAAGGTATGCTTTTGGCAATTGAAACTGTTGGTAGCACTGGGGAGGTAGAGGCAGGAGGATCTCTGTGAGTTTGAGGTCAGCCTGTTCTACAGAGTTCCAGGACACTCAAGGCTATGCAGAGAAACCCTGCCTTGAAAAAAAAAAAAACAAAAAACTCTCTCTCCCTGTGTGTGTGAACATGTTTGACGTGTCATATGAAATTTTCAAAGGATAAAAAAAAAAAAAAAGATATGTTGGTAACAGCAAAACAAATCAAAACCCCCCAACCCAAAGCAATCTCTCATGTCAAAATACAGAAAGCAAACCCCCCAAACCATAGGACAGGGGCATTTGGGTGACCATGTCTACACAGGGGGTCTCTGCAGTGTGGTTTCCTCATGACTTCACTCTGTCTACAGGTTGTCAACCAGCGCAGGGATCCAGCGACTCCAGCTTTTTCCAACAGAAGGCCGCTTCCCAGGCAAAGTCTGTGGTCCACCATCAGAAGAGATGGGACTAGCCTCCTGCCTGCCCAATCTGCACCAGAAGTAAGTGAAGGAGCCCGCAGCTCAAGACAACGTTCTGTCCGCTGAGGGCTGCCATACGGTGGTGCTGGCTGAGCACTTACATCTATATGGGGTTCAGGGTGTGAACTGGGAGAACCAAGGGCTTGGTGGGGAGGTACATGCCTGTAATCCCAGCATGCACCGGGCAGTCTGGAGGACTGCAGCATGCCCGGGGCTTGTTTAATCCACAAAATGAGCTCCAGGCCAGACAAGGCTATGTACAGAGCGAGTCCCTGTCTGCAATGACAACTGAACTCCTGGGCATGGCGGGGCACACTTCCGATCCTAGCACCGCACAGGGGAGGTGGAGGCGGAGGCAGGTGGAGCTCTGTGACTTGGAGGTCAGCCTGGTCTACATAGTGAGTTCCAGGTGAACTAGGGCTGCATGGTAAGACCCTGTCTCAAAATAAATTAGTAAAATATAAAAAGTAAACAATGCCTTATGAGGTAGATTATCATCTCTCCTGCACTGTGATTTTTCTCTTTAACCAAACAAATAATCAGGTGGTGTACACCTTTAATACCAGCACTAGGTAGGCAGAGGCAGAGAGGCAGAGAGATCTCCGTCTGGTCTACAAAGAGAGTTCCGGGACAGCCAGAGCTGTTACACAGAAACCCTGTCTTGAAAAACCAAAAAAATAAAGGAAGGAAGGGAGGGAAGAAGGGACTGAGGGACTGAGGGAGGGAGGGAGAGAGAGAGAGAGAGAGAGAGAGAGAGAGAGAGAGAGAGAGAGAGAGAGAGAAAGGGAGGTAGGAGGATCAGAAGTTCAAAGACATCCTTGGCTATATAGAGGCAGCCTGGGCTATACAAGATCTAGTTTCAAAAAGAAAAAAATAAAATAAAATAGTTACACCAGAATGCTAGGTAAGAAGGCAGACTGTTTATTTTCTTGTTTGTTTGACTTTATGAACCCTGAAAATCAAGAACCACCTTGTCTGGCAATATGGGAGCTGAACTGGAATCTTACATCTCTTTTTTTAGGTCAGATCTTGCGATTATTCCCAGGCTGGTCTCAAACCACAACACCTAAAGGTCTTCCCACCTCAGCCTCTCAAACAAGAAGACCCCTGTGAGGCCAGAGAAGCCAATACATTCTTTAGAAAACCAGCCTGTGGTTCCCTGGACAAGTGGGGACTTTTCTTTGGAGAATTTATAAGAAGGCATGACCTTAACTTTCTCTCTTATCTTCAAACCCAGGCCACCATGTCAGTGAAGAAAACTGTACTAGTCGGAGTCATCAAAGTGTAGCCTGTAGTGAAGGGGCTAAGGCCTCACCACCACGGAATTCTGCACCCAGTGGTCCAGTGAGCCCCATCACCCCAGTGAGATACAGGATGCAGAAACAGCCTACAGCATCTGGCTTATTTTCATCTACCCTGTGCATGAACAAGCTGCCAAAAAATACAACAGGCAGAGGGTGGCTGACTGTGAGAGGGAGGAACCATCTGCGAACCAGTAAAGCAAGGTGCACTAAACTCCAGCAGGTCAGTCAGCACCCCACGTTCAGTTCCTGTGCTCCTGCAGACTGCCCTGGGTTAATGGCCTCAGGTGCTCCCAGAAGTGGGCAATCCAATCAAACAGTTGCTTTCAGCTTGACAGCTGCTTCCCCATATGGCTTGTTTAAATTTGAGAATATATTTATTGCATCTTAATGTGAAGTTGTATTAATTCCTTTTTTTTTTCCAATGCCGTGACAAAGTAGCCAACTTAGGTTTTTTTTTTTTTTTTTTTCAAGAGGGCACAGTCAATCACGGCAGGGAAACCACGGTGGGAGTGTGAACTGGCCTGTCATAGTGAAACCATTCAAGGAAGCCTAGAAAAAGAAACGGTCAGCTCCCTTCTTTTCTTTTTAAAAATCCAGTCTGGGAATCCAGGGCACAGATAGGGTGGGTGGTATCGTACTGTAGCATGGCTACATGGATTCCATGGATTCCTGTGCTGTCTTCTCTACTCTAATACCTTCACAGACACACCTAGAGGCCTATCTCCCAGGTGCCTGCAGCCAAGCTGACACAGAAGATTAACCCTCACAGGGGGGTTAGGTATAGGCATACAGAAATGGCGTGTCCTACTGAGCTAAGACAGCGACCAGGATAGTAGTCTCTGCCATGACGAAGCAGACCCAATGTTATTTACCCACTGGGAAGACGGGGACAGCTGAGTGGACTTTTCTAGTACAGAAAAAGGCAGCCTGCATGAGGACTCGGCTATACGGTCCTCCTTCAGCAGAAGGGATTTGCTAGGGCAATGTGTGTGTGTAACACAGGCCCGGGGGCAAGGATACTATTTCAAACTACTCTAGGATGCTGTGTGATAGCATTCAGCCATGTGGGAAAACTGCCTAATCTCGTCTAGTCTGCTTCCTCCATCTAGAACACAAGCAGGGCTGGCTGTTGGACCTGTAAAATGAGCCAGTACCTGTGACAGAACTCTGTGGGACGCCTGGTGGTGTGGACCGCTCGGTGACCACTGCTGTTTGCCAAAGGTCCAGTATTTCAACATCGCAGACCAGTTTTCTCCGGCGCCTTTACTTTCATTTCTAGTGATTCTCATATCAACACCTTTCCCTTTGGGAGATTTTGTGCAGGCTCTGGTAAAGGATAAAAATGTGTACAATGGAGGGGGTAGGGCGGGCTGGGGTGGGATGGGGGCTGGAGAGATGGTTCAGAGGCTAAGAGCATTGACTGCTCTTCCAGAGGACCCACATGGCAGCTCACAACTGTCTGTAACTCCAAGATCTGACACCCCCATACAGACACACATGCAGCTCAAACACCCATCCAAACAAAAAAAAGAAAGGAAAATGTGTACAGTGGTAGCCTCTCTACATGAAATAATTCTTTGGCAAAAAAATTTCTTCCCACTTCGGAACCAGGAATTCCATTGTGCCCTTCTAATTGCACCAAGAACAGGAAAAGTTAGAGATTTACTAGACACACCTGATCCCGAGGATGAAATGCCTACAATTCAGATCCAGAGCCCGAGGCCATTAAAGCAAGAGTTCAGTTAATAAATACAGAGAAATCACAATGGTGCAGTACATTGGGAAAAGAGTAAGGCATCAGGACCTTCCCTTGCAGGAGTTATGAGGGGGACAGGCCATATAATAAGAGTAAGAAACTAATATAAGTGTCTCTCCATTCCCTGGGGGCTTGAGGAAAGTTCCTGGTCTATAAAGCATCCATTCTTATCTGTAGCAAGAACTTGTGGCCCTTTCATTAACGTGATTGGTGCCTACTGTCAAGGTCAAGGCTATCGGTCTCAACTCCTGATCTCAAGCACACCCCAGCTCACATGCCCCTTGTCTCCAATATAATCCCATGTGTAATGTTTTTTCTCAATTAAAGGCTGCTGGCAGCCATCCAATTCACCCTCAGATTGGGTGTTGTGCCGCCCCCCACACTCCACACATCTTTGGGACCTGAGACCCCCCCCCCCCAAGCAGGTCCCTGGCAACCTGGCATGCAAGTCTTAGCTGGTGCAAGTGTGGGCTGCTGTGAAGCGTTTCCTCCAGGCTCAGAGCTGTCCCAATTTTAGAGTTCAGAAAGGAGCTGGGCCATGGTGGTGTACGCCTTTGGTCCTAGCAATCGGGAGAGCGGAGGCAAGTGGATCTCTGTGAGTTCAAGGCCAGCCTGGTCTACAGAGCTAGACCAATGTCAAACAAACACTCATTAACACACTCTCATTTTTGCCCTGGACTTGGTAAGATGACACCGTCTGGGATTGAGGGGTCATCAAACTACACTAGTACCACTTCTAACCAGAATGTTAAAAGTATCAGAAAATGCCATTTGCCACGGAAAACAGCTTATAGTCCTGAAAATTCCTTCCTTACTGAGAAGGACAGGGCTTTTCCCATGTGGCATAAATGCCCTTGGTAAAAATCTCCAGGCAAGTCGGGCATTGGTGGCGCACGCCTTTAATCCCAGCACTCGGGAGGCAGAGACAGGCGGATCTCTGTGAGTTCGAGGCCAGCCTGGTCTATAGAGCGAGTTCCAGGACAGCCTCCAAAGCAATACAGAGAAACCCTGTCTCGGAAAAACAAAAACATCTCCAGGCAACATGGTTTCTCTGTGGGCTAGCTCTGAATTTAGGTATTAAAGGGTGGCAATGAAGTGTGTGGTGATGAAGTGTGTGGTGAGGCTCTCAGGGTTCAACACTGAGCACTGGAGAGAAAAGGTGTTTCGTGCTGGATAATTTTGACAACTTGACACAGGCCAGAGTCATCAGAGTCAATTGAGATCACGTTCCCACAAAAGTCAGGCTGTGGGCAGGCCCATTGAGCATTTTCTTAATTAGTGATTTATGGTGGGTGGGGCCCCCTTGGCTGGTGGTCTTGGTTCTGTAAGAAAGTAGACTGAGCAAGTCAGTAAGCAGCTCTGCGTCAGCTCCTGCCTCCAGGTTCCTGCCCTGCCCTTCTTTCCACGATGAAAGGCATGTGACTTAACCCGGCCGGCCTGGTGGCATACACTCTTCATCCCACCAGTCTGCAGGTGGTGGGCCACCTGCAGATCTCTGTGGGCCAGCCAGGGCTACAGCCCTGTGATGACTTCACTCTTCCCCACGCCCTCCCTTCAGCAGCTGCTGAGATTTACAGCTGCCCTGCCCCATTTCTTTTTTAAAGGCTAGAATGTTCTCCAGCTTATTAAAAACAAAAGAAAAAACCAGGGAAGGAGGAAAAGGGTGGCTTCAGCAGTTTTATTGTTTGCGCCCTCCATGTCCCAGTACAAATTTAAAGTGTGGCCTCGGTGTGCAGCTGTCTCCGTCACACACCTCTGTGGCTCCCAGACCTGTTCAGCATTACTTCCGCCAGCGCTGCAGCTCTTGGGACAGACAGACAGACAAACATGAGAACCTTTGCTTTTTAGACATTTTTGCTTCATAAATTTAGAAATCTTCTTGGGCCTAAGGACATCCTGCTTCCATCTTCAGGGATGAAAAATATATATGTTCAGCTGCACTCCAGGAGCAGAGGCGGGACAGGACGCACCTGGGCTAGAGTGAGACCCCCCGTCTCAATGCTACAATGTCGTGTCCACTACCAACTGCAGGGGCCAAATAACCCTTGGGCTTAGTTCAGCTGGGAGCAAGCACCATCTTTAGGGAGACAGGATTCTGTTTCTTGGGCCTCTCATTTGTATTGGGATCCCGTCTTTCACGAATGTCCCAATGCTTGATACAAGAGCTGGTGTCTATGGCAGGATGCTCAGCCCTGCAGAGGTGTGCTGCAGGCCCACTCCTGCTGAGTCACCTGCCTTTCCAAGACACAACACACCGAGTTTCCATCTGAAAGAGCCAAGGCTCCTGCCACCTCTTAAATTATGGGAAAATGTTACACTTTTTTGGGGGGGGTGGGTAGTCTCCTATGAACTGAGTTTTTTCTTTCTAAACATTAAAAAAAGATTTATTAAATTAGAGTTTTGCCTGCATGTATGTATGTGCACTATGTGTGTGCCTGGTGCCTGCAGAAGTCAGAAGAGGGCGTTGGATTCCCAGGAACTGAAGTTCTGAATGCTTGTGAGCTGTCATGTGGGTGCTGGGAACTGAACCTGGATCCTCCGTAAGTGTGACAAGTGTTCTTAACCACTGAGCCATCTCTCCAGTTCCAGACCCGTTTTTATACTCTTTAAACCTGTTCTAAGTCGCAGAAAGCCCTTCTATTCCACTATGAAAAAGGGGTTTGCAGGCGCCAAGGAGGGCACCTCCCCCTAGCAGGGAACCGTTTAAAGCAGGAAAAACAAACAAACCCAAGGCCTCTGGACCACCAATGATATCACTAATGGGCAGATATGTAAATCTAAGCCAAATCTTGCAGACTTATAATGGAGCCCCAACGACAGCTCGCGCATCGGGTATGACTACCACCAGAGCCCGGAAGGGCGGTGGCTAGTTGCTTAAGCTACCAATTACGGAGGCTTACTCAGATGCTTGAAGCTCCAGCTACAGCACAGGATGAAGTAGCCAGCGAAGAGCATCGTGAGGCCCCCGACACCGCTCTTCCTTACGGTGGTGTTGCATCTCACCCAGCCTGCGCAAAGAGAGGCAGATCACGTGGTTAGGGGCAGGGGCGTGGCCCAGTATGTGCACACTCCTCAAGGCAACCCTGCTAGCCTGGGCAATGAACTCAATCACAGAACTTCCGGGCCTACGTAAGTGCAGTCTAGACAAGGTATATACATTTCCATAGACAACAACTAAGCTACGGAGGGCCTGAGTAAATTCCCACACTGGGAGCTGGGTTAACCTCTGGAGCGATGCGGAGGGGAATACGGCTGGTTAGCTGAGGTTCAGCAATGCCTTGGCTGATCACTGTGGGGAGGGGAGGGTTGGGGGCAGGTGGCAGGGGTGTGTTTTAAGAAGTGAGAGCTGCATAATAAATGCGAGCTGCTACTGTTAGTTTTGGGGTTCTGAGTGACACCCAACTCTGAAATGGAAACAGACAATGACAACCACTCCTTTCTCTTGTCCTTGTTTAAACAGCCTAGGCAGAGAACCGCCTCCACAGGCCTGGGACCAGTAAGAGAACCCACCAGTCAATAACAGCGGCCTCACCTTTGTGCACAGCTCCCAAGAGCCGCATTAGAGGGAAGCTGGAAGCTGTAAGCGCCAGGGGTCCCGAACTCCTGCTATCAGCCGAACTTCGTCCCCACCAAGGAACTACGGTTCCAAACAGAAGTCACTGTGACAATCAACCTAGAATCACCCCTTCCCACCAAGCAGCCAGCTGCACGTCCTAATAGCTGGGCCTCAGGAAAAGCACACCCCGACAGCTGGATCAATGGGCACCTCACTGGGCTGCAGTTAAACTACACAGGCAAGTAAAATCCGCCTCAGGACAAAGCTCTTACTGATAGAGACCTTGCACTGTGATAAATGCATCACTTGCCCCCTCTGTGTGCACGTGTCTGGTCAAGCAAGCCATGTTTTATCATCTTCTGAGATTTTAGCAAGAAGTAGGACTTTCTACTATAGGCCGAGTACCCTGAAATGCATGGACTAAAGAGTTTAGATTTTGGCCTGAAAATAATTTTTGACCATCTACATATGTATAATGGGCTATCTTAGGCCCCATACTCAGAACCAAATATGGAATCTCTCTGTTCTTTGCTTCCCTACCCCAGTGGCAACTGAGCCCGGGATCTTACGTATGTTAAAAATGAAGTGTCTGCATGTCCTCTACCACCAAGCTGCATCGACAGCTCCCAAAATTCATCTTTGTTTCTGATGCATTTGTCAGATGATCCCTGTCAACATGTTCTGAAGACTTTTTTTTTTTAAAACGTGCCTGATTTGACTGTGACCTACCATGTGGGATTAGGCTTGGGGTCATCTCCCCAGGACAGAAGATACCCATGTCGGTATTCAAGAGGCTGTCATTTTGGAGCACTGTGCACATGTTAGAAATAGCCCTACTCCCTGCCAGTCATCCTTATTCAGTGATCCACTGCCATGCCTTGGTTGAACCTTCCTATTTACACTGACACACAGGTAACAAGTACAACCAGAAAAGAAGGTACGTGTTTCTTCTTCGTGTTTTCCTCTGCGTTCAAACCACACAGTGATCTCCACTGGCCATGGTTTTCTGGTCTTGTTTGGGTTTGTTGGGATGAAGGATAAACTAAGATGGGGTTAGAAGGTGTGGTGAAGGCTGCTGTGAAATGATCATATACATAACAATGAAAAACAACACATTGGGGGCTGCCACAGAGGGCTCAGTGGTTAAGAGCACGCGCTACTCCTGTGGAGTTCCCAGCAGCCACATGGTGCCTTATATCCATTTTGAACTATGGTTCCTGGGGATCAGGCACCTCCTTCTGGCTTCCAGGGGCAAATGCATGCACGCGGTGCACATGCCACATGAATTTGGCATTAGTTAACACACACATGTACATTACCACACACACACACACACATATATATTTAAAAAACAAAAACCCTTCAAAAACCGAAAAAAAACATGTTGGCATGCAAGGAATCGCACAGTACATATTTGTGCAAGGCCAAAGTCTCTTAAAACCAAACAAGAAAAAGAAAAACATGGGGCTGGAGGGATGGCTGGGCTGCAGGGGTAGAGAATGCATGCTGTCCTGGGTTCAGCTCCCAGCACATGATGCTCACAACCACCTGTAACTCCAGCTCCAGGCTCACAACCACCTGTAACTCCAGCTCCAGGCTCTCTTCTGGCCTCCCCTGGCACTGCACTCCTGCACAGTTTACCAATACCTACACAGACTTGGAAACCAAAAACCAAAAACCAAAAAAAAAAAAAAAAAGTCAAATCATAAAGCCTGAGATGCAGCTCAACTCAAAGCATAACGTCTAGAAAACTGCTACTGTTGGGCTGTAGTCTCAGCGCTGCTGGGAACCGCGTGCGTGGTTCACTTCCGAGTACAGGGTCAGGGGAACTTACACAAAGAAATTGAGCTGTGACCGTGGACGGAGTGCAGAGGACACAGTCACTGTACCCACAGGCCTTTCTTTCCTACCTGCCTCTCAGGAACACTAGACTCATCCCTTGTAGCCTTTCCCATCAGATTTCTTTCTTTTTCTTCTTCAAGACTGTGTAGATCCTGGCAGTCCTGGGACGCCTTCTGTAGACCAGGCTTGAGCACAAAAATCTGCCTGTCTCTGTGTTCAAGTGCCTGGGGTTAAAGGCAGGGGTGCACTAGCATGGTATCAGCTTGCCCATGGAATTTCTAAGCGTATAGAGCAGTATAGAAACTCAGCGGCTATCGGACTCAGCAGCCTGCCCCACTATAACTCTCAACTCTCCAAGGACGAGAAGGGAGAAGGATCACTACAATCACTCTGGACAGAATTCTCTTTGGTCAATTAAGTGAAGTGAGGGGTAGACTCTGCAGGTGAGAATATGTTAAATGAATAAAATAGAGTGATTCTCACCTCTACTTCAAGGCAAAGAGCATCCTGGAGGGGCGGGGTGGTCCTTGTAAATGAGCCTGCTTACCTTTCGAGACACTCGCACCCTGGGAAGTGACAGGAAGAGGCATCTGAGCCATGGAGTTCCAATGCTGAGGCCCCCTTGGCAACACTCCTAGACCAACGTAACCAGGATAGAGTTCGGGAAACCACTCCAGTCCCACGGACCCGGGAGCAGCACCCGAGTCGGCAGCAACATGACTGACCAAAGAGCTTTTAGACCCGGGGTATGGAGCTGAATATGACGGTATGTGGTACCCTGTCTGGGCTGCATGGGGTTGGCGGAAAGCCGTGGGTTCCAGACCGTCCCTCTTGCTTCCCACTAATAGTGTTATGGTAGGGACTTGACTCTGGCCACAGAATTGGGAATTGTCTTCCGGAGACTTCACAGCCAGAGAGGCAAGGTGCTGATGCCCTGTCTCTGGTACAGAGAGCAGCTTACTCGAAGTTCCCTCTGCTGGAGTAAATACATCCAAAAGTGCAAGGGCTGCCTGTGTTTTTGCCTTTGGGGGTAAAATGGGATCCTTAGCACCACGGCTCAGGCAAGCCTGTTCCTGTAATTCTGTGGCAGGATTTCCCTTGGTCTGGCCGTGTTCCTGGTGCTCTCTGACTTGCGCTTTACCCAGTGGAGTGTTGTGAAGGCCCAAGAAGAGTGATTTGGACTTCTCCTGAGTCTCCTTGCCAGGGTCGAGGGGGACTCCTGAGAGGTGGTCTCCATCATGGGAACTGCCCTTCCTGATCAACATTGAGGGTCTTCCTCCCTGAACCCCATGGCTGTCATTCTTTGGAGAATAACAATCACTAACAGGCACGTCTAGTAATTTTGTCAGAAGCTTCTGTCTTTGGGGATCAACTGTATCCAATTTCAGACTTGCAGAAATGGCTGGTTTAGCATGATGCGCAACCGAGGGATATTTTTTGCCTTCATTAGATGAAGCTGGTTCCATTGAGCCAACCAGTAAAGATGCTTTGGTCTCTGAGGGATGACGTGGACTTCCCTTGGATTCAGTCACATCTCTGTCAGGTTCTCTCTTGGGAGAGGTGGCGTCAGAAGCACGAGCCTGAGGGGCTGTCCCCCTCTGCAGAACCACCTTTATCTTGGCGTGTCTCAGTGCTTCGAAGGAGGGCTGATTTTGATCGCTGGCTTCTCTTCCTGCTTCTGTTGTACCTGCTCTTTCCAAGACTCCTCCCGGCAGTGGAAAGGTGGCAGCTGTCCATTCTGGTCTGCCCTCTGCTGATTTTGCATTTCTTTTTGCATTTTCCATCTCTCGCTCTTTTCCTTCAGCTCTGGTTAGGTCTCTGGTAGGCCTTGTCTCTTTTTTAGCATGTGGGAGTGTAGCTGGCTTGGACTGATAAACTTTTTGATCGGCAGATGTGGGTGATCCTATCATCTTACAGTGTGGCAAGTGGGATTTTAATCGCTTAAATGGCTTCTTACAATGAGGGCACACCTCCATCCTGGGGCCAGCATCACCCATCGTCTTTCTGGAGAGAAAATGAAGAATACAGAGTAATCATTTTATGCATGGATTTTAACTTTTTCTTTTGCTTGTTTTTCTTAAGATAGGCTCTTGGAGCTGGGCATGGGTGGCGCACGCCTTTAATCCCAGCACTCGGGAGGCAGAGGCAGGTGGATCTCTATGAGTTCGAGGCCACCCTGATCTACAGAGCTAGTTCTAGGACAGGCTCCAAAGCAATACAGAGAAACCCTGTCTCAAAAAACAAAACAAAACAAGACAAAAAACAAACAAACAAAAAAAGATAGGCTTTTGGGTGCAGCTTAGGCTGGCCTCAAATTCACTCTGCAGCCTGGTCTATATAGTTCCAGGACAGCCAGAGTTACATAGTGAGACTGTCTCAGAAAACCCAATGACATCCCAAACAATAACCACAATAACAGCAAAACCAAACCAAAAGATTTAAATCTATTAAATTAATGCTTAATCAAGGGAAAAGATACTAAGAATGCCAGCCAGAATTCAATTTTATTATTTATGTTAAGTAGTTACATGAATTTAATGAAACCATTTAAAAACCCTTAAAATGGGAGCTACTTGGGGCTTTTAAGTGTTGTGGGATATTTGATCACATTGTATGAAGATGTCTCTGTTTTATCTTACCTGCCCAAGACACCTTCTGATTGGTTTAATAAAGAGCTAAATAGCTAATAGCTAGACAGGAGACGGCAGTGGAACTTTCTGGGAGACAGGAAATGGGAGAGAGGGGATGAATCTGAGGTAGATTTCCTATGGAGAAATGTGGGAAGTTGGACGTACAGTACTAAAGAGAGGTAACAAGCCATGAGGCAGAACATAGAAATCAGCTAATTTAAGGTCTACGAGCTAGTTGAGCTTAAACCTAAGCTAAGGCTAAGCTTTCATAATTACTAAGAAGTCTCTGTGTCATTATTTGGGAGCTGGTGATACAAAGAAATACCTGTTATAGTTAAGAGCACCTACTGCACTGCTACTGCAAAGGCCCCGGGTTGTGTTCCCGGCAACCACACTAGGCAGCTCATAACCGAATGGAAAACAAAAACAAAACGGACTTGGCCGCTCCTAGGTATGGTAAACAACAAGTTTATTGTAGATAAAAGGGAGAGCATAGAGCATAACCAGGGGCAGAGACATCTTGGGAGGGTCCCTGAACTGGGCCAGGGGTGGGGAGAGAGGAGAGTCAGGAGAGCAAAGAACAGACGAAAGTGCCTGGTAACTAAAAAGGCTGGCTTATACAGGGAAGAGCAGTTAGGAGAAGGGCAGTCCAGCCCTGAGCCTGAGAGAGTTCAGGGTAGAGGAAGGGATATCCCAGCCATACCCTGTAACAGGTAGGGACTGAGGGGTGCTGGGAGAACCTGGCAGACAGATCCACTCTGACATGTTAAATAGACACCTTAAGTTAGCCATTTGTCCTCGGTTTGAGACCTAACAGTAGCTACCTGTAACTCAAGTTTTAGGGGAATCTGGTGTCCTCTGACCTGCTGGGGCACAGTGTGTACACAGTATAAATAAACTCTTTATATAAACAAATTCATGCAAGCACATGTACATGCATTTAGTAAAAAGATAAAAGGAAGCTGGGTGGTGGCGGCGGCAGCGCAGGCCTTTAATCCCAGTACTTGGGAGGCGGAGACAGGCAGAGCTGAGGCCAACCTGGTTTACAAAGTGAGTTCCAGGACAGGCTCCAAACCTATAGAAAAACAAAAGACAAAACAAAACAAAACCAAACAAAAGGAACCACCAACTGAGTATTCCTGCCTTGAAACCTCTCCCACACAAGAATTCTTTAATAAATCCCATTCACTCTCACTCTTCTGGAACCTGGCTTTCGAGGATGGAACCAGGAAGGATAACAACATTCACTCAGGGTGCAAGAACTGGTTAGAACAGTTTCTAGAGTTACATAAACAAGATCCACTGGGTGAGGACTCAATGAGAACTCCTGTACCAGCCGGGACCTGACTCAGTAGTGGCACCGCATAAAACCTGATGCTGTACAGCCATAATCCCAGCACTTGGAAGTAGACAGCTAGGTCATCCTCGGTTAGAAAAAGATTGATGCTAGCCTGGGATTCATGAGATCTCTGGAAAAAAAAAAAAAAAAAAAAAAAAAAAGGCGGGCAGGGGGTGGGGCAGTAGTTCACCTACTTTGGGTTGTGAGCCTAGCCTTTAACAGCTGAGCCATCTCTCCAGCCCTGGGGTAGTTCTAACTCAAGGAGAAATGAATCTCTGCTAATACTAATATCAGCAATACATACATATGTAAATGTAACAATGTACCAAAGGACATGATCCCCACTTTCTTCCTTTCTTTTTTTCCTTTTCGAGATAGGGTTTCTCTGTGTAGCTCTGGCTGTCCTGGAACTCCCTCTATAGATCAGGCTGGCTTCGAACTCAGAGATCCACCTGTCTCTGCCTCCCAAGTGTCGCTACCACTTGACCCCAATTTTTCGGTTTTAACTTGTAATACAGTTGATTACTGTGTACATACAAATGTGTACAATAGCAATTGCTTAGTCTAATTTTTTTTAAAGATTGTATTTATTATGTATACAATGTTCAGCCTGAATGTGTGCCTGCAGGCCAGAAGAGGGCACCAGATCTCATTATGGATGGTTGTGAGCCACCATGTGATTGCTGCGAATTGAACTCAGGACCTTTGGAAGAGCAGCCAGTGCCCTTAACCTCTGAGCCATCTCTCCAGCCCCTTAGTGTGAAATTGCTGATAAACGTAAAAATATTTTCAAACGCCGGGCAGTGGTGGTACATGCCTTTAATCCCAGTTCTGGGGAGGCAGAGGCAGGCAGATCTGAGTTCCAGGACAGCCTGACCTACCCTGTAAGTTCCAGGACAGCCACGACTACACAAAGAAACCCTGTCTCAAAAAACCAAAACCAAAACAAAGCAACAACCCCCCCCCCCAAACAAAACAAAAAGCCCTGATTCTGAAACCATCTGCAAAATAAATATCCATGTATTAAACCAGTTAGCACTTTATCCTCATGAAATGTAAAACCACGCTGTTTTCTGGAGAGTTAACGGTGACTATTCTCACTGTTAGTGGGGACAGAAGTGATAGACTATTCGTGTGCAAAACGCACATGACAAAGCCAATCCATGGGATTTCCAGTTGTAACAGTACCTTTTTCTAAATTTTGAGATGGGAATCTCACAGTGTAGCCTTTTCTGCCCTGGAACCTCCTCTAGGTAGACCAAGCCGATCTTGACCTCACATAGATTGGCTTGCTTCAGCCTCCCAAGTACTGGTGTAAGAATTCAGGCATTATGCTGGCCTGTCTCTGTCAGGTCCTGCACTCAGACTGTACTCAGGCAGTACTCTGGTCAGCCCAGGACTCCATGACTACTAGTCTGCACTCAGGTTCAAATGATCCCTTTAAAAGACCTCTGCCCACTTAGGATGTCTTTCTTTCTCTTTCCTGCTGTTCCCCTGGGGCATACAGGACTTTTCCAGTCTCCCTCTCCTCTTCTGTCCCCTCTCTCAGTCCCTTTACTCCGCCCCTTCCCGCCCCATTTCCCTTTCTAATAAAACTTCTCATAAGCTCTGTCTGCCTGCCACGGAATCTGCCAAGGTTCCCTCGTGCTTTATCTTAATAACTGGGGTTAAAGATTTGCATTAGTGTACTTGACCCTATACCCCACATCTTAACGAGGGGCCGTTTTCCTGCCTGACTTCTTGCAGTCATCTCCCCAAGACCCTCATGTTTGTGGATCACTGTTAACGTGTTTGGCAGAAACTTTGAACGTCAACTTCTGTAACGATCAGAACCAAATGGAAGAGCTCATACAAGATGTGACCCCCCCCCCTCCAAGTACTGAATCCTATACAGATAACTGGATTACAGCCCTGGCAGATAACTGGGGATGCTTCTGAAAACCAGAGTAAAGACTTCCGCAAGTATCCCGGGCCCAGAGTATACTTATTCGAAGAAGTAAAAAAGAACAATTTTAAATCCGAGACAAGCTCTCCAGTAGCCCAGACTGACTTCGAACTCGTTTCAGAGTCGAGGATGACTTTGACCTTCTGCTGCTCTTCCAGCCTCCACCTCCCAAGGGTTGGGATGACAGGTGCGCACCACGCACGCCCGGCTGGGACCTCGTGATCGCCTGTGATCACGCCCGTTTCGCCACAAGCCAGCTCTGTTCTCACAGCCGCGTCCCCACACCGGTCCGCCAGCCCACACCTTTCTGCCCGGCCTCTTGCAGCAGGTGGGCGGGACCGCTCCGGGTCGTGGCTGGGACTCCTCTAGTTCATTAGCCTGATCTGCACTCCTCTCTCGACCTACAGCAAATGTCGTGGAAACCAGCCCAGCCCCTGGAAACTCCACCGGCCCGCCTCGGAACCTATCGAGGTGCAAAGTTCCACGCGGCGCTCTCTTGGAACTCGGAGCTCAAACACCTTCCACCTCCGAACCCAGAACCCGTGGCCGTCCGAGTCAGTGCCTGATGGAGCTCGCCCGACCCTTTCCTTTAATTTCCACCGCACGGAGACTTAACGCGGACACAAGCATCAATCAGTGTGCAAATAATTTCATTTATTCAAATCCGGCTTGGCTGTCACAGCTTGTCCCGATCTGTTTTTGAGCAGGCGGATGTTCCGGACACCTAGACGGGGTCCTGGAGGCGCCCGGTCTGTTTTCCCTCTCCGGAACGCGCCTCCTCTTGTGGGCGGGGTTGTGGGTAAGCGCGGCCTGCGTCCCCACACTGCGCAGCCGCGGGGGAGGCGGCACCACGGCGCCTGCGACATGGGGGGGCGCAGAGGAGGAGCAGGAGGCGCCGGAAGTGGCGGCGGTGCGGGTGGGCCTGAGGGGTACTCTCGGCCCGCAGCCTCCACCCGCGCGGCGGCCCGAGCCCAGGCCCGCGGGGGTGGGCGTGGCGGTCGTCAGAACCCGGCTCCGTCTGTTCGCTGTCGGCGCGGGGCGGCGCCGCGTCGCTCGCCTTCACCAGCTGCCATGAGCGAGCGCCTCCGCCCCAGGTGAGCGGAGGGACCCACTTTCTCGGCCGAGGGTGTGCGCGCTGGAGCCGGGGGGGGGGGGCGCACGAAGCCGGGGTGGCCCTGCGGTCGGGGAAAGGAGGGCAGGGGGAGGTTGCGTCGCCTCTGACACCGACCTGGACGCCGGAGAGAGGCGACTCCGAGTCCGGGTCTACGCCTCCTCCGTCTTTTTCTGTTTTGTTTTGTTTTTTTTGCCCCGACTCCTGCCCTTTTCACTCTGGAATGAGGTTTGTTCGGGTCCTACAAGACGGACGGCGGACCTAAAGCTTCCCTGTCCTAGACGGAGGCGGGTGCTGCTGGTGGGGGATGGGAGCAATAGCCGAGCTAGAAGAGGGAGCCCCTCAAGGCGCGGGACGGGGCGGGCGGGCGGGGAGCTGCTGGCGCCCCAAGGTCAGGGGAAAGGCGGGGGTTGGGCTTAACCCTGCAGCTGGGAGGGCTTAGGGCAGCTCGCAACGCTGCGATCTGCCCTGATCTGTTGCAAAGCCAGAAGAAGGGCACATGGACCCCGGCGGGTTGTGACCCACGCTCGGTTGTCGCATTAACAGGCAGGATTCTAAACTGTTTGGATGAGGAGCCGTTTGTCTCCTAGGCGGGAGGTGGAAAACATTGCGAGTTATGCTCGTTGGCCTCTCCCCTGAGCCTGGCCTCAGGCCCCAGGCGGCCTCCGAGAGCTTTAGGCCCCAAGCAGATGAGGTTTCTTTTTTTTTCCCCTTCTCATTTTCGTCTTCAAGTTGGGATGCTCTGCTTTGTTGCGTATTGAAGAGAGCCTGCTTTATTGCGTATTAGAAAGTCTCCCAACGACGAAGCTGGACGACCTGTACATCACCAAGTTGTACTTTTTTCGTTTTTCTGTTGAACAACAGACTCGGACTCGTTTAACTCTATTCAGGCTCATGTCTCTTTATTCCATAGTGGTTTTAGGCTTCCAGGCTGACCATAGGGTTGTCTTTTTATTTTCTCTTTTAAAAGATTTTACTTTTATGTATATGAGTGTTTGCTTGTATGTATGGGGACACGTGCGGGGCTTGTCTGGTGTCCAGGGAAGGCAGAGGAGGGTATCGAATGTCCTGGAACTAGAGTTATGTAGATGGATGTGATCTGTCTCCTCCACCCCCTGTCTTATTCCATTGCATTTGTTGATTGTGAATGTAACCACTGTTTTTAAGGCTTATCCTTTCCTTTTTTTTTTTTTTTTTTTTTTTTTTTGAGACAGGGTTTCTCTGTGGCTTTGGAGCCTGTCCTGGAACTAGCTCTTGTAGACCAGGCTGGTCTAGAACTCACAGAGATCCCCCTGCCTCTGCCTCCCGAGTGCTGGGATCAAAGGCATTCACCACCACCGCCCGGCAAGGTTTATCCTTGATAGAGTTATTTTTTGGGATCAAGGCCCACCAAGATCCTGAGGTTATTTCTTCCAGTGTTGAAAATGTGGAGGTGCCTAGACTAGAATGAATTATTGATTTTGTATATGTAGTAATTGTGGCAGAAAGCATGAATTTGTGTGTACAAAATAATCAAACTAAATTGGAAATTATAGCGTGCTGTCAGAATTATAGCGTGCTGGTCTGTGGCATTGATGCAGTACCAAAAGGGTTAGTCTTACTGATTGTACACATAGTGTGAATTCATAATCTTGCCAATTATTAAAGACTATTGAAAGATTTAAATTCGGCCAAGTTGAAATTATGGCCCATTTACAGTCACACCTTTAGGATTGGAATTTTTAGATACAGTAAGCCTGAGTTGACTATAATCATTTGGATTCTCTTGGAATGTCTCCCTTATCTGACAGCCCCCAGCATTTTCTGCCACCAACAGATTCTTTTTCCTAGTGCTGTAGACTAGTAATCTGAGTTTGTACTGATTGTAGATCCTTTATACTTAATTTACTCACAGGGATCTTAATGTGTTTCTGTCTTCTGGTGACATCTTTAAAATGAGCCACTTGGTTAGGACAGACCTTTTTGCCTGTTTTGTTCTTTACCCATGAGCTAGCTTGGCCAGCTCCAGTGTATGTCTCCAAGTTGGTTCCTGTCTCTGAATCTGACTCTTCAATTATTAGATGAAGGGTTGAGCTCAGACTGTTTTTCACAGTAGATTGTGAAGGCTGTGTGTGGGGGGTGGCAAGGAAATCTTCCTTACCACAGATCCCTAATTTTTACATATGATTTGAGGGAGAGACACCTTGCAGCAAGGAGCAAGAGTTCACGTACTTAAAGAAACATTTGAGATAGGTGTGGTAGCACTTGTCTTTAATCCCAGCACTCAAGAGGCAGAGGATATCTCTTGAGTTTGAGACGGACTTGCTCTACATACCAAGTTCCAGGCTAGTGGGCTACATAGGGAGACCTTGTCTCTAAACAGACAAATAAAACAAAGCCACCTGAGAACCGGTTTCTGTACTCTGTGATTACGTTTGCCCAGGTTCTTGAAGAGGACGAGGAAGATAGTGAAATAAGGAGCCAGCTGTCCTTGGGTGTGATAGAAATATCCAGCAATTCTGCCTAGCAGAGAATCTAATCAATTACAGGGAGCCTGGAAAAATAAATGACAATGCAACCGATTGTAGACCAATGATCTTGTCCCTTATTAATAAGGCTATTAAAAGCTTAGTGCGTCTAGCAGGGCATCTAATAAAAGCCAGAACGACAAAAATGGAGACTGCACAGAGCTCATTCTTAACTCATTACCACCCAAAGGGGAGGACAACTCACAGGCCCGAGAGATGGCACTTGTACGGTGAGAAACTGACGGACATGTTTCATGTGGCTTTCCCAGAGATAGATGAGAACTGTAGAGCAGCCCCTTACTGTTATTACTGGGAGGAAACATTCCCTGTTATAGATGAGGACATCACAATTTTTGTTCAGGCTCATACAGTTTGGTGAGTGACTCAGCAGCCCCAAGCGTAACCAGCTGTTGGCATGCTGATAAAATAAAAATTAAGGGGCCAGTCCTCCTTCTGCCTCTCTGAGGTTTTCTTTGAGTGTCATCTGATTCTCAGCGGACATGCTCTGCCGATGCTGCACATGTGCATGTGAATTGCCATATTGGGATGAAAGCAGAAGCTTCTTGGTTCAAATGTATATACTGATTTATTTGTTTAGTTATTTTTTGAGATGGTCTCACTAAGTAGTCTGGCTGCCTTGAAGCTCTTTGTCATAGAGTAGGCTGGACTCAGATTCACAAAGGTCTGTTTGCCTCTGCCTCCTGAAGGCTGGGATCAAAGGTGTGTGCAGCTTAGATTTATAATAGTGTACCCATTTAATGGTTATTTATTAAAACTTGGTTGTGTGTAGGTTGTAGCTCAGAGAGTCCTAGCACATGCAAGGCCCTGGACTCAACCCAAGCACCACAAATAAAACAAGACCCACTCCCCTCAAAAATACTAGCCAAAGTAAAAACCCAGTATTTGTCTTATTTTTAATTTTCAAGTTGTTCAAAAATATTGTGCAAGTGCTAGCCAGTCTTCTGGGAGAAGGGTAAGCAGTAGAAAGAGGATCTTTTGTTATTGATGTATTAGATAAATCATGTATTCTTCAAGTTGGTCAGAACTCCTAGGCCTGTCTGTAACTCCAGTTCCAGGGGATTTGACACGCAGACATAGATACAGGCAAAACACCAATGCACATAAAATAAAAAAAAAAAAAAAAAAAAAAAAAAAAAAGGGCTAGTCCTGTGCCTTACATTCTCTCTCTCTCTCTCTCTCTCTCTCTCTCTCTCTCTCTCTCTCTCTCTCTCTCTCTCTCTCTCTCTCTCTCCCCCCCCCACACACACACACACACCATTTGAAATTTGTAAACCCCAAACAAACTATTTCAAAGAGTCCTCCCTGGGACTGGAGAGATGGCAAGAACTTGATGTTCTTTTTTTTTTTTTTTTTTTTATAATTTATTTAACTTTATTTGCATTGGTATGGAGGTATCAGATCCCCTGAAACCAGAATTACAGACAGTTGTGAGCTGCCATGTGGATGCTGGGAATTGAACCTGTGTCCTCTGGAAGAGCAGCCGGTGCTCTTAACCTCTGAGCCATCTCTCCAGCCCGAACTTGATGTTCTTGCAGAGGACCTAGATTTGGTTTTTAGCACCCATGTGGCAGCTCACAACCATCTCTAACTCCAGTTCCAGGGGATGTGATGCTTGTGCCACATATGCTTACATGCATGGAAGACACTCATTCACAGAAAAACAAACAACAAAAAGATCAGGTCCAGTGGGTCACACATGCAGTCACCTAGAGGCTTGAATTTGAGGGCAGTCTACACTGCCATGAGAGCCTGCTTCAAAAAATAGGGTCATTGAGATGGCTCTGGGAGATAAAGGTACTTGCTGCACAACCTGTCCAGTAAGAACCAATCATAATCTTCAAATGTGTTTTTTGCCCTTCTGCCTTGTATACACAATAAATAGTAACAACAACAAAAAGCCCAAATAAAAGCCATGCCTTCTTACTCCAAACCTAATCCAGGGTGTAGAGTATAAACTCATTTGTAAGAGTTGGATAGCTGGATAGTGGTGGCACGTGTTTTTAATACCAGTATTGGGGAAACAGAGGCAGGGGGAAGTTCTAGGCCTGCCTGGTCTACAATGAGTTCTAAGACAGCCAAGGCTACGCAGAAAATCCCTGACTCTAAATAAATAAATAAGGAAATAAATAAATAAATATGCAGTGAGTTCTAGAACAGCTAGGGCTACACAGAAAAACCCTGATTTAAAATAAAAAAAATAAAATAAAATGGAAGGAAAGAAAGAAGTTAAAAAAGAAAAAAAGAATACAGACTTTTCAAAGTACAGGCTTATGAGCCAGTGTGGTGATTTTGGTTTCTACTCAAAGCCTGTGTTAGGAACTTGTTGCATACAGAGAGCTCCTAATTGTACGTGAGATCATTTCTTCCCAGTGTAAATACTTACAGAAACTCCCTAGCCCTTAAAAAAAAGATTTGTGTATTTGTTATGTATACAGTGTTCTGCCTGCATGCATGACTGTGGGTTAGAAGAGGGCACCAGATATGGATGTGAGCCACCATGTCGGTGCTGGGAATTGAACTCAGGACCTCTGGAGCTATCTCTCCATCCCTCTATTCTTTTTGTCTGTGTTTTTGGATGTGGTTTTCATTTTTGTTTCTTTGTGACAGTTTCTTTGTATAGTCCTGGCTGTCCTAGAACTCTGTGTACAGCAGACTGCCTTTGCCTGCTGTAGTGACCCATCAAGCCTGGTACTACTGCCTTTTGTCTCTTGGAGATTTGACCTCAGAAGCCTTTTCTGAACTGAGTCAGTGCTGTCTAATAGAACTATGTTTTATTGTTTAAAGAGCTTTTTATTAAAGCATTAAAATTTTTTCCTTACTCAGTTATCAATTCAGTTACTTAAACAGAGCTGAGGGCTAGAGAAATGGTCCAGCAGGTAAGTTATTGCTCCTGCAGAGGACCTAGGTTCAGTTTTCAGCACCGACATGGTGATTATCTGTAACTCTAGCTCCAGGACATTCATTGCCCTCTTCTGACAGCTATGGACATCAGGTACAGGTGTGCAAAACACTCATATACATAAAATAAATCTTAAAAAGTTAGCCAAACAGAGCTGATGGTAATGTGTTCCACAGAAAAGGTCTGCGGACCTACAGAATCTTTGAATTTTTGTTCTTTGTTGAGCCTAGTCATTTGTTTTTGTATTTTGCCAGTTTTTTTTATATTTTGTGTTAACTAAAGTAATTTAGGACTGGTGTTGTTCACTAGACAAGTAATTTTTTTTTTCATCATATAAGGCTCAAAATGTATGGTAATGCACGTCTTTAATCTCAGCTCTTGGGAAGCAGAGGCAGGTGGATTTGTGAGTTGGAGGACAGCCAGCCAGAGCCACATAGTGAGGTTCTGTCTTTAAAAAGAAAGTTGGCTGGAGGGTGTTGGTGGTACACACCTTTAGTGCCAGCATTCAGGAGGCAGAGACAGGCAGATCTCTGTGAGTTCGAGGCCAGCCTGGTCTACAGAGCTAGTTCCAGGTCAGGCTTCAAAACAATACAGAGAAATCCTGTCTCGAAAAAACCAAAATCCTTTTTAAATTTATATTTTACAATTTCTATAATCAGTTTACAATGATCAGTTCCTTTCTCTGGTCTCTGATCAGTTTTACTCTTGATTTTTTGTTATTGTTGTTTGTATTTATTTGTTTATTTTTGGGGTTTCATTGTAGCTCTGACTATCCTGGAAATCACTGTAGACCAGGCTGGCTTCGAACTCACAGAGACCCACCTGCCTCTGCCTCCCTAGTGCTGGGCTAAAAGGTGAGTACCATCACCACCTGGCCTTACTCTTGATTTTTGAAGTACATTTTATTATGTCTGTAGATATGAGTGTGTGGAGGTCAGAGTGCCACTTTGAGAGTCAATTTTCTCCTCCCACCATGTGGGACCTGAGATGAAATCCAGGTTGTCAGGATAGGCAGCAAAGGCCTGTATCTGCTGAGCCATCTCACCAGCCCCCTGATGAATTCTAAGCGTCTGTAACTGTAAAGCAGCAACTGTTGATTGCTTTCCGGGCAGCCCCTGTAGCAAGCAGTACAGCCACAGTTCCGTCAGCCTTCGAGCAGAGAGCTGGAGACTTGGGCATAGGAAGTAGTTCTGTGTTCTCGGTCTCCAGCGGCCCACGAGTTCAGTACTATGAATGGGCTGCACTGCTCCGGTGAGAGAAGACAGTCCTTCACCCAGTATTTGCTTTTGTCGTCAGAGGCCTCGTGCCACATGGAAGCAGTTAGAGGACCCTGTACTTGAACAGCAGGCTTCTTCTGCGTGGTAGTTGTGGTTCATGAAGCTGTTGGTGGGGGTTGTGGACTCCCACAGTCTATTTATGCTAGGCATGGTGAAGACGGAGCAGCTATGGCAGCAGTAGCTGCACACTGCAGCCAGCCAGCCTCTTGTGAATGTGCTAGTAGCACATTGGGTTGACATGACTCAGCCTGTGGGGAAGGCTGGAGTGGGATTGGAGCGGCTAGGGGCCAGCATGAGGAAGATCTTGGGATGAGTGAGGCCTGGCACCCTGAGTGGTCCAGTGAGTACTTGGTCATAGTTGAGCAGTTTGCCTGGGAAGGTAGTGGGCAGCATGCCTGAGTCTGAGGTAGCTAGCTGTGTGAGGTAACCTGAAGGAGGTCACAGGGCTGGGCACAGCTTGTGCATTTGCTCTTCTGTATACGGGTAGTGAGATGGATGAGCTTGGCCCTGTGTGCTGAGCCAGAGCTACACATGGTGACTCCAGTAGTGAAGAGATTGTTGCTGTTCAGTGTAAGGAGATGAGGTCTCACACTGTAGCTAGGCTGGTCTGAAACCCAGTGTAGCCCAGGCTGGCCTCAAATGGTCAGTGATTTTCTGCCTCAGCCCCTGCTGAGGCATTATAGGCATAGCCACTGCATGGCAGTAACTGCATCATTAATTGATTGATTGATTGATTGGCCTTTCAAGACAGGGTAATAGCCCTGGCTGTCCTGGAATCTCCTGCCTGTGCCTCCCAAATCTCCCAAATGCTGGGATTAAAGGCGTGTGCCACCACAGACCAGCCGGATTTTTTTATTTTTAAAATAATTTTTCCTTTTTTTTCATTTCTTTCTTTCTTTTTTTTTTTTTTTGAGACAGTCTTGTATTGCTGGCCTGGAACACTGTTCGGAACTTGCAGTGATCCTCTGCCTCTGCTTCCTGAGTTCTGGGATTAGAAGTGGAAGCCACCATGCCCAGCAGGATGTGGATTTTACATTTTAGTTTATTTGAATGTGAGGCCACATTATTATTAGTGGCTGTCATGTGCACAGGTTATTCCGGGCAGTGGGTCCTAGAGGTGTTCGTCCTTTCATTAATTCCTGTTTTCTAGCTTGAGATTAAAGTCATCCTGGTGGCCTCTAATTCTTGAACTGAGAGCACTTGCTGGAGAAAGGTGTGATCTCTTTCCCCTTTCCTGGTGGCTTTAAGCAGCGCATACTGTCACTGAGTGCCAACCCAGTGCAGGGATGAAACAGTGGTGTAGCCCAGGCATTTCCGTGAGGGCTCAGGAAAGTAAGGGACACACACACACACACACACACACACACACACACACACACAGAGTAGGGCATTGGAACCTCTCACTAGCCTGTGTGTTCCTGTGTGGTTCTCTTGCGTGTATTTCAGGGGGAAGAGGCAGTCAGAGGCCCTACTTCACTGCCCTGTGGGGTGCTGAGCAAGGAGCAGAGTGGGGGGTTTGGAATTATAATTTCAGGGGGTGTGGCAAGAGGAAACTGAGTTGGGAAGCTCCATTGTTAACCTCCCTCCTGTTACTCTGTTGCCACCAGGCATTTGGTAACTAGCCTTTCCCCTAAGGCTTGGCCTTACTACCTGTCTCTGCTTAGTAGTGCCCAGTGCTGGGATATTATAATTCCTCCCACTGGATTGTTGTGGTGGATTAATATTTTTAGGCTACAGCGTACATTTTTTTTCATATGTAAATTATTTTTATTTTATGCATGTGTAGTAGGAGTATTTTGGCTACATGTATGTCTGTGTGAAGGTGTCAGATCTCCTGGAACTGAGTTACAGACAGTTGTGAGCTGCCATGTGGGTGCTGGGAATTGATCCTGGGTTCCCAGGAAGAGCAGTGTTCTTAACCTCTGAGCCATCTCTCCAGCCCCTGAGGGTAAATATTTGTATGTTGTGATGGTTTATATTTGAAGTGTCTGCAAGCTCCATAACTGGTTATTTTTCCTCTTTGTATTTAAAATTTCAGGAAAAGGAGAAGAAATGATGATGATAACCATCTCCCGCCCCAGACCAAAAGGAGCAGTAGGAACCCCATCTTCCAGGACTCCTGGGACACAGAGGTAGGCAGAATGGCACAGGCTCATCTGCATGACCTGGTCTCCATTGTATAATTGTAAGGAGTTCCTTTTTCAGGGAGCACCTCACCTGCCCTGACTGGAAGTTCCCACCTTGATGCTTAGTGTCTCATTATTTTGAGGCAGGGTTTTGAGTCCTGGCTAGTCTGGAACTCAAACCTGATTCAGGGCCTCAACTTCGTGGCTGTCCTCTCCCTTAGTGCCTGGAATTATGTGCTGGCACACCCGGCCTGCATTCTCCTTTTGTCAAAGCCTCTTTGAGGGAGATAGGGACTGTCCTGCCAGGTAAGCAGTGTGTATATGGTCATCTCCCCCACCACACCCCATTTGTAATAGTTTCGTGGACTTTGGAAGCCCCATCTTTGAATCCTCTAGTTTCACATTTCCACACCTAGCTCATTTCCTGGTGATTTATGAACTGGTTGTCCTCACGGGAGATGTGTTTGTTACTTGCATTCAATAGCAGTTCTAAATAGCAGAGCATGTATGGTATGTGTGCACAGATCTCTTTTAGAGGGTTTTCATTATTTGTGTGTTCTAGAAAGTGTTGGGAGGGAATGAGAGTGAGGAAGGGTGGAGAGCACTTTTAGAGGTCTTTGCAATTTATTCCCAGAAAGATTGTTCTGCTGTGGGGGACAGTTTTTTTGTGCAGTTGGGAATTGAAAACAGAACTCAAGGTTGAAGTGCTAAGGGTGAATCATGCCACCTCCACATTCAGGCCCCTAACAGATGTCATGCTACATACAGTGACAGACAGCTGGGCTCTTACACACTAAAACAAATCCTGCTGTATTTGGTTCCCACTAGTAGGATTTGCCTCATAACTAGACTCTGAGCCACCAGTCCAAAGTCACCAACAAGGGGACACTGACCTTCATGTTTCAGGGCCAGCTAATAAATAAATCTAGAGTATGTTCCTGCCATGAGTAGACGAGTTCTGATAGCATTTCTTTAAAAATCTTAGTCTACTTTTTTCTATTTTAGAAAAGTGTTTAGCCTTCCCAGGGATAGTGGAGACAGCACATGCCTTTAATCCAACACTGGAGGCAGAGGCAGGCGGATTCTGTGAGTTCAAATACAACCTGGTCTATAGAGCTGTTACACAGAGAAACTCTATCTCAAAAACAAAACAAAAGAAAGTGTTTAGCTGAAAAGTAGTTGAGCTTTTGTGGAATGGGATGCTTAGGGTATTTCTGGGAATGAAGGAAACCAGATGTCAGAGTATACCCTGAGCATCTTAGATTGAACAGTAACAGCCGTGGACTTGCCACCATCCTCTCTGTGGTTTTGATGTTTTAGAACAGGATATTTTAGAATGGCATCTTTTTAAAAAAAATTTTTTTAAACTAAAAATTTTTATCCTCATTAAAAATTAAAATATTATCTTCATTTGTTTGTGTTTGTGGGTGGGCACTGTGGAGGGCCGAGGACAGCCTGTACAGAGACGTTAGTTCTCTCCTTCCACTGTGTGGGCTTGAAAGTCAAATTAGTTGTCAGACTTGTGGCAAGTAAGTGCCTTTGCCTTCTGAGCTCTCATTGGACCTGGTTTTGTCGTCTCCCTCCCTTCCTCCTTTCTTTCTTTTTTGTTTCTGTGGGTTTGGAACCTGTCCTGGAACTAGCGTTGAACTCAGAGAGCTGTCTCCCTCAGTGGTGGGATTAAAGTTGTGCTCCACTAGCCCACTGCCACCTGGCTGTGTTTTCGTTTTTGTTTTTTTGTTTTTTTTTTAAATACAGGGTTTAATACAGCCCTGGAACTCACTCTGTATACAAGGCTAGCCTCAAACTCACAGAGATCCATCTGCCCTCCCTATTGATGGAATTATTTATTGTGTGCATAGTATTCTGCCTCCATTTTTGCCTGCATGCAAGAAGAGGGCACCAGATTTCATTACAGATTGTTGTGAGCCACCATGTGTTGCTGGGAATTGAACTCAGGATCTATGGAAGAGCAGCCAGTGCTCTTAACCTCTGAGCCATCTCTCCAGCCCTGAGAATAATAAATTTTTAATATTGTCAGTTGATGTAATAAATGAGCTACTGGCTTAATAAAAGTGTTAACCTTTTAATTCTGGCACTGGGTCACCAAAATAATGCTTCATTTAGGGTGAGATAACCCATTTCTTGTTGCTGGAGAGATGGCTCAGTGGTTAAGAGCACTGACTGCTCTTCCTGAAGACCCAGGTCCAATTCCCAGCATCCACACGGCAGCTCACAACTGTCTGTAACTCCAGCTCAAGGGGATCCAACACTCTCACACAGATATATAGGCAGACAAAACACCAATGCACATAAAAAACAAAACAAAAAATACTAAAATAATTTTTGAGTTCTTTTTCTGATAACTTTTTCCATTTGTGAGGCTTTTATTTAAAATCATTACCTATAATGAACCCCTAAGATTACTTTTTTATGCCACATGTAATAGTTGGCCCTGAGCATTACCTTGTGCAACTGTTACACTGGGTCAGTTATCTGAAAGCTGGAGGTGGTGGACACCTCTTGCCTTGATGTTCTGAGTGAAGGGCTGTGAGACCTGACTGCAAGCAGCTTTGCTTTGTATGTATTCTCTCTCTTTCTCTCTCCCCCTTCCCAGTCCCTCTCCCTCCCTCTTCTTCCTGAGACAGGGTTTCTCTGTGTAGCTTTGGAGCCTGCCCTGGAACTGGCCCTTTGGTCTGTAAGAGTAACAAGTGCTCGGACCTGCTGAGCCATTTCTCTAGCTCAGTATTCTTGACCACTTACTGAGGCGGTAAAATGGGCTAGATTAGGCAGGTGGAGCGGTTTAGGTCTGTAATCCCAGCCCTTGAGAGGCTGAAACAGGAGGATCACTATTAATATGAGAGCAGCCACAGGGCTCTACAGTCTGAGTATAGTATAAATTCCTGTCTCAAATAAATAAATAAACAAACAAATAAATAAATACAACCCCCCCCCAAACCCAAACAGACAAAAACTTAAGGAAGAAGCCAGTAGACTCACAGGAGCTACTCTTGCTGGTTTGAGTTGTAGTTGTATACCTGTAGGAGTGATGCTCTGCCAGCATAGCTTTAGTGTTCATAAATTGGTTACCGAAGTGTTGGAATGAGGGTTAGTTAACTGGAGCCGTGAAGAGCTGAGATGAGGGTGAGGGCGCTGCAGTCAAGGTCCAGGCTTAACTTAGACCCAGCACTTCCTACCTGACAGGGCAGTGTGAGTGCATGGACAACAGTCTCTGTGTCATTTCAGTGCATACTTTTTGGGAGGTTGTTCCTCCTCCCCCCTCTTGGCTTATACTGTGCTGCCCCAGGAGTCCCCTTCCTACTTTCATGTCTCATGTGTTCTTACACTGTCCAGCCCACTTCCTTAAAACCTTTTCCCTTTTCATGATCCCTTTCTAGTTGCATGAGCTATACCCACTGTCCACACAAAGTCTGGGACAGTTTAATTTCGTATTTCTGTGACCCAGAGTGTCATTCCTGGGCAACCCATCATAGAGCACTTGCACATTTATTTTTATTGTTTATTGTTGCTCGTTTCTTGTTTGACTTTTGAGACAGGGTTTCTTTGTGTAGCTCTGGCTGGCCTCGAACTCTATCAAATCTGTATCAAATACAGTCTCAGTGTGTTAATTGGGTCTGGCTTGGCGGCAGGAGGAAAAACCTTACACCTTACAGAGACCCACCTGCCCCTGCCTCCTGAGTGCTTGGGATTAAAGGTGTGTGCACCCAGGTCACAGTGGGATTTTCTTTAGCCATTAACAAAGAAGACTCTTACTAGGATATCTCATGTTAAGCCCGAGTGCTTTTTTTGCAGGAAGACCGACTGATATGACTCTGGCCTTTTCTTTTTCTTCCAGTCTTCGAGCAGTGACAGTGGCGGCAGCAGCAGCAGCATCAACAGCCCGGACAGGGCCAGTGGACCAGAGAGCAGCTTGAGCCAGATCATCCCCGGATCCTGCCCCAGCACCCCCCAGCCGGTGCCCGAGCAGTCTGCACTATGCCAAGGCCCTTACTTCCTTATCAATCAGACCCTGAAGGAGGCCCACTTTCACAGCCTACAGCACCGAGGCCAGCCTCTGACATGATGCTCTGGCCGTTTCTTGCCTTCCGTGAAGGGACAGCACTGTGCAGATTGGATATTTCAACTTAATGATTTGTTTTTAAAAGTTGCACACAGAAAAAAAAAATGCCTGTTGGCTCTCAGTCTATATTTGAGTATTGGGTCAGCAGGCAGCTGTTTACCTGGGGTTTTGCTGCACTATTGCAATTTCAGAGGGGCAATTTTTATAGGATCTTTTGAGACAGGGCATCAAGTCTGTGTCATGGCAGTGTCTGAGGAAGTCTCCTTTGATTGATTTCCACATCTGTCAATAATTAGACTTGTACTGTATGTAAGAGCCTCTTAAAATGTCGGGTCTTCAATTTTTTTAACTCAATAAACTAGTAAAGAATATCTAGTTTCCATGAAAAAACAAAAACATAAGTTTTCTCCCCAAATACAGGAAACTTGACTCAGTCTTGCACTGACGTTAATTGCCATACTACCTCTTAGTATGTAGATGTCCATGGAAAGTGCCCCCTGGAATGCAACAGTTGCCCACTCTGAGGACCATGAGGCTAAGCACCTGCCCTAGTTGTGGTCTGTTACACATTTGTATTTCCAGGGAGGATGTCACTTCCCAATGTGTTTTCTTCTAGTCTGCACCTCAGATGCTACAGAGAACACCTCAGTTCTCTAGTCAAGAAATACCTAATAACTGTCTTACAAACTTGTGTGTTAACAGCTTAACTGCTAATCCTTGCAGTGCCCATAACCAAGGCAGTGGTCAGTGCAGATGAAGAACTAGCTGCCCCGTAGCTGAAGAGAATGAGGACTTACCTCACACTTGACAACACCCCTGCCCTGCTATGGGACCACATCCCATCTTCAGAACCAGAAAGGCTGGGGTGGTATAGGAACACAGCAGAGGCGCCTCTAGTGAAAACGATGCAGTAGTATTTAATTAGAGCCAGGGCATTGTTTCCATGCTACTTTGTCATACTAGAGAGCCAGGCAAGCTTGAATAAGGAAGGTGCAGGTGAGTCATCCTCCTCGCCCGCAAGCTGTCTGAACAAGGAGCCAGGATGCGTCGGGTCACCTACTCTGGAGAGTGCTGGGGAGCCAACCTGCCATTAGATGAAGAGGAAGTGCCTTAGCATCGCCCTCAGCCTCCTGCCTGCTTCCTCTCCTCTGTACCCCACTCAGAGGCCGCACACACAGCATGCAGCACTGAGGAGCAGGTGACTCTAGTAAGAAGGGTCAGAGGGACTTGCTGGACCAGCAGCAGGTTACACTCTGATATAGCTACAGTCTGAAGGAGGCCCATGCCAGGAACAGAGAACATTCGGGCCTTCTGTGGCCCGCTCCTCTGAGGCCACAGCATGGAAAGGCCAACTGTGTGACATGGGGACTAGTATCATGAAGCCCACAGTTCAGAAGGAAAGTTCTTTTAGGAACTTTCCAGATTTTAAAATCAGATATTTGCTGAACTCCGATCTTACTGGATTTGCTGGCAGGGAATGTGGGAAAGGATACTTTACTGGAATTCTGTCTAACAGGCAAACAGTGCTATAAGAGAAGCTGTCAAGCACACATGTACACAACACAATCCAGAAATACCCAAGAGGGCTCCAGCAGGCCTAATGGATGCCGTCCTACCAAAATAAAACATGTATTAATAAAACAATGCTCGAGGAAGCGCAGTTCTTCCTATTCCCACCCAACTAACAGCACAGATGGGGCCATCCGCAAGACCAAGGGTCTTTTCCCCATGCTGACTGACCACAGTGCTGGAGTGCCAGCCAACAGTCACTCTTTTAACCCTACAAAATGCAAGAAAACATCTCTATTCTGTGCTCTGTGTTCTGAACGTGCTGGGTCTGGGTCCCTTTCTGCTTTAAGGCTATTTGCTCGAGCCGATGAGAATCTTTCTGTGAGCTCAAGCTAGTGAAACCTTGTACTCTGTTGCGCCGCCATTAAAAGCAGCCTTACTGCATTGCCATATGGTGCCTAATTATTTCTAAAAGCTGGTGGTTTGCTGTGAGTGGGGGAGGGGATTGGAAGCACCCGGAGAGCCTCTTGGCACTAACCTGGGCTTGTGTTTCGCCTCTGCTGGTTGCCTTTGCCTTCCTCGTGCTTGCCATGCTCAGGGGAAGCAGCCCAAACCTCAAGACAAGAGACAGGGTTTCATCGCGGTGAACAAGCATCCCTGGCCCCCTGCAGAGCCTCAGGAGTTACTCACCTGATCTGACTGGAGGCTAGTGGCAAGATGTTATGGGGCTCCTGGGAGTTGAATGTGCTGCTCCGGGAGGCAAACTGATTCTCTGTACCAGTAACCAATCCAAACAGAACCTACAGGTAAGAAAGGGAGGGGGCCCAGTGAATGTCACCCCCAAGCGACAGTCACTTCACTGTCGTCATTGGGAGGGAGTACTTTTGTTATTTTCAGAATGCTCCTTAGTCTGCCAAGGGTGAGAATCTCGAAGCCATTTAGTTCCTTTCTAAAACATGTACTGTGTGTGTTTGCGTGTGCACAGTCTCCATCCATGTCCAGAAGCACACCTGGAGGTCAAGAGGACAACTTTCTGGAGTCAGTCTTCTACATGTGGGTCCTGGGACTGAACTTGGTGGCAGGTCAGTGGCACACACCCTACACACCTGTATTTATTTCTTTATTTTTTTTTTTGTGAGGCTGGTGTAAATCAACTAACCCTGCTTCCAGTATGGCTACTGAAGTTTATGGCATTCCAGCTAATCCTCTTCCAGGAAGTGGCTTATTTGTAGCTCACCCTTGTGCAAGAAGGGTTGGAGCAGGTTTCCTCTAGTCACACCCAAGCATGGTTGTGACTCAACTTACAGAAGTCCGCTGTACCAGGCGATTAAGGTTGCTGTTGAGATGTGGTGTGAAAACATCCAGGTCAAAAGGGTCGATGAGGGCCTCCAGCCTGTCAGTCACTTTCTCAATTCTGAGAAGAGTTAAAATATTATTCCCCATATACTTCAGAACAGAAAGCAACCTGGCAGTATTTTATTGCGATAGAAACCCCAGAGTGGCCATTGCCCAGCAGAGTTGCTTAGTGTCCTTTGGACAGTCAGCCTGACATGATGTGTAAGCCCATTGCCTTCCTCTTACCAAACAGGTTCTGCCTGCTGCACCTGGCTGTGAAACTTACTCAGCAGGTATAATTTAACCCACCTGTAACAAGCAACTCCTTGTTTAAGAAAGCTTGCAGTATATGGCAGGCTTTCTTTGGGGACATCTCAGGAAAGGGGCCTCAGCTTAGGCTGTTGCCATATACCAGCATACAGATTTGGAAGATCCCAAGACAGGGCTTCTCTGTGTAGCCCTGGCTGTCCTGGAACTTGCTCTGTAGACCAGGCTGGCCTCAAACTCACAAGAGATCCGCCTGCCTCTGGTTTCCAAGTGCTGGGACTAAAGGTGTGTGCCACCATTGACTGGTAGCTTATAGATATCCACAGTGTAAGATGTGGTTTGTTGCTGGCCCAGACCAAGATCTAAATCCTAGACATGAAGTATGGTTTCTACCTAATGCTGTGCTCTCCCACTGTAAAATGGGAAAATCCCAAGAGGAGCCCTTCTAAGTGCACTGTCCATTAACTGCATCAAGAAGAGGCTGCCCTGGAGGTGCTCAGTAGGAACAGTCACCTGGAGTCTGGTTTGCTCCGGCCACTCTTCTCCTCCCCCTTGCTGGTCAGAACGATATTGAGGTAGCGCAGGTCATAGAGAAGCTGCAGGGCTCGATTCTGGGTCATTAGAAACATCCCTTCTTTCTGCAAGAGAAGGCTGGCTGGTGAGGGGGTGATCCCGTACCTGGTTCCAAAAGCAGTTGTAGATTCTGCCTCTATTATAGCTTGATACAGTTTCAGAAGGTTCTGTTGACACCCACAGGGCCAAGTTATTCTCAAAGTGTTCGGTATAGAACCCTGGTCTTAAAAATCTCAGAGACTTGGTTGGGGAGATGGCTCTGAGGTGAAGAGTACTGTCTGATCTTCCAGAGGTCCTGAGTTCAGACTCCCAGTCACCACCTGGTGACTCATAACCATCCATAATGAGATCTGGTGCCCTCTTCTGGCATGTAGGCATGCATGCAGACAGAACACTATACATAATCAATACATCTTTAAAAAAAAAAAAAATCTCAAGAGACCCAGCCCTTTAATACAGGCTCTGGGCTGAAGGTGACCCTCACAGAGGAGCAAGACTTCTTGCCTGGAGATGTATGTGAGCTCTGAGGCCCAGGCATGAAGACCCCTGAATTCTCACCCATGTTAGAATGGCCCCTCTAAATGTTCCAGTGAACTAGGACAAGTCAGGGTTCAAAGGCACAGGTACAGTGGCGGCTGGGGCCTCCTTCCATCCTAAGAGCCCCCCAGTGCATGGCTTCCTCCATCCCACATCTCACCTGGCAGCCAGCATGGATGGCCTGTATCGTGATGACACCACTCACAGCTGAGCTGCCCATCTACTGCCTATGTTTGGTCCTGCCTAGGCCAAGGGGTTAAAGGCTTGACCAGAGCCTGCACGAGCAAACGGGGGCACCAGTGCCAAAGCTCAGCTTTTTTACTGTGGAGATTTTACCCTGTCCACTTGTCCTGACCTTCAGGATGACCAGCCTGAACCTGAGATAGGGTCAACCTGCAGGGCCGAATGTCTCTCCTAGCACAATGGAGCATATGTATGGGACTGGGAACTGGGTGGGGGCAATGACACCATTTTGTGCCCTTCATACAAACTGCCCAAATCCAAGAATGAGGTCTGTTTGTTTGGGAAAACATTCGGATTCCTACCTTTACCTGTTGTTCCTCTGTGAGTTGCTCATAGGCAGCTATCACTTGGCCCATACAGGTCTTCAGCATCTCCTGCAGGGTCACCTTTGGCAAGGCATGACCTCCAACCCGATTAACTTCCTGGCATAAACTAAACAGGAAGGACTGTACATACCAGGATGGCTGGAAGAACAGAACACATTGCTAAGTGCACTCAGCAAGCCACCCATAGCCCTCACCTGAACCTTGACCTTCAAAGGAGCATCTCCCACAGAGCACTCAGCTGTCCCTCCGGAGGTACATGGGGAAACAGCTTTCCAAAACCATCCTGCTTCCCCAGAGCAGTTTGTCCCCTTTTGCAGCCCAGGTACCTGTGACAGTGGGACCAACTCACTTGAGTGGGAAGGCGTATCTTAGATGTGACACTGCTGCCAGATTCTGTCTCCTCTTGAATTTCTAGCTCATCCCAGTTGGTGGCCGTGGCCAGGATTGAGCCAGCATCACTTAGGAGCAATGATTGAGTGAATCCACAAATCAGAAACTGGTGATAAAAAGAGAGCGACCACATTAGTTCCTCAGGCCCTTGCAGAATTAGTTTAAAATGACCAGTGTGTGGGTAGTAAGCAGCCAGCCCCACCTCAGTAATGCCATGGGTCACCTGCTTGGAGACCACAGCAGCTGTGCTATTGACCCGCAAGCAGGAAGCAGGGTTCCCTGTCCAGGTTGGTAAGAGGGAAGCATGCTATCACAGAGATTTACACCTGAGCTGTGTGGCACAGGTTACTGTAGCTGTGAATAAGCACACTACTCAACAGGACGGAGGATGGCCAGAATGGAGTAAGACCCCAACAAGTCCCATCACTCTACCACTCACTTTCACAAGCGCTGAGCTCCAGACCCCATAGGCCACGACGCTCTGCTGAAGAAGGACTTCCTTCACTTCCTGCCACTGGGCCTGCGTGGGGAGCAGCTCCTGGCCTTTCCCTTTGCCTTGCTTCTTCAGAGCCCTGGCCTCTCTCGCTGGTTTTTCAGAGCCCCCACACTTTCCCACAATACATTGCTTCAGGTGAGGGCACAATTCTCCCAGGGACTGGCAGAGTCTGGCCATGAAGAGGACTGCGTGCAGCTTGGTGCCGTGAAGGGCATCCTTCTGGTCTCGTGTGACTTCTTCAATGGTCTGCAGCTCTGCCTGGATGCAGCCCACAATGTACTTGACACAGGCCACAGACTGAGTCCGAAGCATGTCCTGCACGGTTCCAGCATCCGAGTATCTATCGAAGGCAGAGTTCTTAGCCTGGTGCATGGGGGAGGGGTCCTTGGGCAGTGGTGTGTCACTGGAGGGAAGGTAGGCAAGGAGGTCGTCCAGTTTGACCTTCAGCTTAGAGTCCAGGGCGGAACAGAAGCTCTGTACACAAGGGCTCACTGCTTGGGCTTTCATGGAGAGGCCACTGTTGGCAAACTGAGCCCGGTTTGCCACGCTGACCCAGGCAGCATCAGGAGGCAGGTCGTTGGGACTCTCAGACCAGAGGAAGAGAGACATGTTCTGCTCAAAGTGGACATGCTTGTTCAATGTGGAGTTGTTGGCCTCCAGTTCCTGCAGAGCTGAGATCAAAAGCTCTTTGGAGCTGCTGCAGATGGAGTCAAAGCCTTCTTTGCTCAGGGTCTAGAGAAGGGGAGCAGAGTTTTAGTCATCATTGCTTAGTGGAAATTTCCAAAGGAGCTGAAATGGCAAGTTAGGCATCCAGAATACTCTACCATACTCACAGTGAGTGTTAGAGCCTGACTGAAATGCCACACAGGCTCAGGGGTTAACAGCTTGGCCTTCCCTCGCTGGCACTTGGAAGGCTATGGCAACCTTAGGACACTGGGTTTGTACCACATGCTCTGGTCACGTGTCCTGCCATGGGCCCAAACCAGCCAAGTGACCATGCACTGAACTGTCCAAACTCTGAGCTAAAATACATGTTCCTCAGGTTATTTCTGTCAGGTCACAACTACTGGTACCACGGTGTGGCAGAGGACAAAGAGCATCACTGAGGGGCACCCGACAATGGCTTGCTTTCTCTCTTAGCTTTTAGAAAATATAGATGTGGTAAGAAATGGGGAAAGAAAACATTCAGGAAACGGGGGTTTGGGTGTCGGGGGGTCCCTCCCAGTGATGCTCAGCGCACCTGTAACCGATCCAGGAAGATCTGCTGCATCAGGTCC